CTTGGGTCAAGTAGTTTCACCAATTACATTGACATTAAAGTGCACTAGATCCGTTTAATTTAGGAACGTGTCATGTAAATCCATCTCTTTCGGAGTCAGGGAATGACCATGTTATTTCATCAAGGTCTGGAGGCTATAGATACCAAAAGAAAACTATTCAAGCAAGCTCCCACTGAGCACTAGCAGCCTAAATACTGATGAAATAGAAACTAAAATGCCTTAAAGTGAGATGAAAGCTTGTAACAAACCAGTCCACCAGCAACTAGATGATCAAGCATCCCTTCTCTATCCATAGAAACTTCTTCCCATCTTTCTCAACATAGCCATTCATGTGCACTCCATAAGCATATTCCAACAAGAAACGGGTATTTAAATTCTCACGGAATTTGAGCTTACCCTTTGTGAATGGTCTTCAATTACAAAGGGAGGGAACTCAGAGTGCGATTCCTGCAAGCAGTTTCAATAAAATGTGGATTGGACTGTGGAGAGATAAACGAAAATTGGTCTGTTTCTGTTTGGCAGCTGAGAAAATGCATTGTATAACTTACCAAGGAAAGCGCGATTGCAGATTTTGATCTTTTCCGAGTAGCCCCTGAGATCTGAACCGGTTTGGATATTGTAACGACGTCGTCCCAAGTGAAGACATCATCGGAGGGTGAGATTGATGCAGTACGACAAGTGACAACTTTGTGAAAAGCCTGCTGGTTGGAACGAACTGGGAACGACGTCGGAAGTGCCTTGGGGAAAGCGCAAAAAGCTTTGGCCGTAAAACGGAAGGCCAGAGAGTCTATGAGTCTGTGAGAGCTGAGGAACGCCGCTGCTGCAGCCCATGAGAGCGGGTTCCCAAAAAAAAATCGAAAAATCGGCCTAGGCGGGCTAGGCGGTTTTATTTTATTTTATATTAAATATTTATTATAATAATAATTTTTTTTTAATTCCTTTTTTTCCTGACTTTAAAGAAAACTTGAGTTTTAAAGTCTTTATTCGCTGCGATATTATTGTGAGTACTGTGGCATCTGCAGGTCCAAAAGAACCTGATTGCTTCTCACCACAAGGTTTTAGTCCTCCTTTTAAGAATGATAATTAAGAATGACACTGAAAACTTCAATTACTGTAAGTAGAAAAAAAGAAATAGATTTAAATTTGGGTGGAATATTTGGTGCGTGGTATATAAATTCCATAGTATAGCCGCGCAGGAATATAATTTATTAAAAATATTTTAAAAAAGCCCCAGTATAGTCGGCGGCTATACTCTTAAAATATATTATATTTAAAAGGCTGTTCATGAAAAAAAAAATTATATAAAAAGACCCCTTTCATTGTGGACGTTTGTTGGTGGAGGAAGTGGAAGATAAAACCAATTTATAAGAAGACCCTTTTGCCATCTTTGGAAATCCCAATAACTCCTACGCATGATTGTAGCTAACACGAGCAACAATCGGGCATAAATTGAAGTTGATTAAATAATAATAGATTTTTGTTATATAATTTCATCAATTCCTTTTTCTCTTTTTAATGCAGATTTAGTGTTCCTTTGATTCAATCTTTATTGTTTGGTGAAAAATGATATTTAGCAATTTGCAGTGTACGTGATGGAACATTATGGTTACAATTTACATTTGAATGAGAATTAACGGTATATCAATTGCATTTTAGTTTAAAGATTGCTAGTCTCACCCTTTATTTTATTTTTCTTACCAACCTTCATTTTTTCACTGCTATTAAATTTTTGAACGTTACGTTGTAGACCGAATATCATTGTATAGGGAAGTGCAAATTGTCATCTCCACTTTCATTCTCACTTCCATTCTCCCTCTTTTCCTCTACACTCTTAACACACAAAATGAAAACTAAAAACTAAAATTGAAATGATTCGGGCTTGAAGAAACTACATGCATGGTGAACAAAAAAAAGGGCCCATAAAGTAAATCTTATTCTTGTTTTTAATAAGAAGTTTACATATGAAAGACATAATTCGTCATTTATTTTATGCAACAAGACATTTGCGTTGAACTAGGGAACAATAGCCGGTCAATTAATTTATCTGGTTATTCTTGGAGCAACTCTCATAGCATGAATCCACAAAACCTTCCACATAGCGCTTATCTACAATCAAGCAAATAAAACAAAAATACAAAGAATATCAATAATTAAAAATATAATTTCAAACAAACATGATAAAGTTATAGATAAAGAGTAATTAAATAGAGGAATGTAAGATCAATAATCCTATATGGTAATATATATGCATATCATTACCAGAATTGGAAGTGCTTGTGGTGGCAATGGAGTTGGCACAATTATGTGTACAATCAAACACAACTTTCGAAGGCCTATGTTTGCATCTGATCATGCACATGCCAAGGCATATTGGGTTCATCAAGCACTTTGTCGCACATTTTAAACCACAAGAGATAATATGGCCATTTGGAACCACTTGATTTGTATTAGAGCGAGGATCGACATCATCAACTTGATCGAGAGGATTGTCATTTGGAACCGCATTGGTATAGGAAGGATTAATATCAGCTTGAGCTATTGAAAGCACAAGCATGCTCATCAAAACCACAGCCCTCAACACACTAGCATCCATTTCTCCTCACTTTCTTTGTTTTTTTTTCCTGAACTCTCTTTGATTCTCCAAGTTTGTTGGTGGTGGAAGTGGAAGCTAAAGCCACAATTTATAAGGAGACCCTTTTGCCGTCTATGGAAACCCCAATAATTCCTAAGCAAGATTGTAGCTAACGTGAGCAAAAATGGAGCATAAATTGAAGTGATATACGATACTTTAGAGCATAACTATAGGTATAGTAATAAGCCAGTTTTATGTTCTTTAGATATATGATGATCAGTTTATTAAAGAATGCACGAGTTTTGTTCTATCATTTCATCAATTTCTTTATTCTTGGGTTTCTTCCAGATTTACTGTTCCCTTGATAAAATCTTCTGTCTTGTGAAAATGATATTGTATCAATTTTTAAGTTTAAGTGATGGAGCAAATTTGCCAAAATTTTTCCAAATAAAACACGAATGTATTTTATTCGTATTTTTCCCTTCTGTATTTTACTAACTACGAAAGAATTGAGATGGCTAAGATTATTTCTTACTTGTTGGAAGAAAAATGCAAGATTGGTATCTAATTTGTCTTGATATTGGTTTTCTTGACTACTATGAGGTGAAGTATGGCATCATTGTATCATAAAAGAAGAATATCAAAAAATAATACAAGCACTGGTATTGCAGTTAGGAAAACATAAATTTAACAATTTCCCAACCAGTATTTGGAATATGTTTAAACTTTTGCAGATGTTTAAGTCTTTACATTTTCAGGCTTTTCTTCCTGTGTTCGATTCATAATTATAAGGCAAATTAGTTGTGACACATAGACCATTGATTTCGTCTAAGTTTCCATTCAGTTTGGTTGTATTTGGCATGATATTCCGGTGAGATCCTCATGTATCCTTCTTAGTGCTTTGCGTGAATGAAGATGATTGATTTCTTGATGACCCAAGTCTTCTATGTTTCTTGCTGTTCCTGAAATTCATCCCCTGTAGTTGTTGAATAATTCCTCTCTTTTATACTATTTCTTGGGTAAAAAAAAATTGTATAGCCGATCGGCTATACTATTTATTAATAAAAAAAATATATACAGCCGAGTAAAGCCGGGCGGCTGTACTTTTTATCAAAAAAATAGAAGAAGGAGAATAGCCGCCCGGCTATACCTCTTTTTATTTTTTTAAAAATTAGCAATTGTTAAGAAAAAATATACAAAAAGAGCCGAGTCAAGCCGTCCGGCGATACTATTTTACCAAAAAAATTAAAAAAGGTGTGTGGCTGCCCGGCTTTAGCACTTTTTAAATAAAAAATAGTATAGCCGGTCGTTGTAATTTTTTTTCAGAAATCGGCCATACTCGGATTTTTCTTTTCTTTTTTGAAAGAAATAGTATAGCAGTGCGGCTATATTGAGATTGCATTTCAAACTCGGATGTAAGGGAGTGGGCACGCTACCATTGCCAATTGTCAATTGATCCAACACACATGTATGATTGCTGCCATATGAGTAATGCGCAAAATTGGTCCGTCTCCAATCCAACTTATTATAAGTTTGTCACAACAGCTCTTTTTATCCCCCGGAAATTTGATCAGGAGCAATCAAAAGGTTCGTGATCATCAAGTATATTTATAATTAACTAGTACTCATGGGCAATTGTAATTTATAACTACTTATGATATGTATTTTTTTGTCGTTAAATATATGTGTGTGGTTTGAATTGTACATATTCTACAAAATATACATATAAAAATAGGGGAACTGGGAATTGGGGACAAGTCCTTGTGTGTTGTGTTGATTAGCAAAGGCATGATTGTGAAAGGGAATTTGGGACCAGGAAAGCATGAAAGAGATAGAGAACCTCCCAGCAAGAATTGTATGGGGCATATCCATTAGCTTCTACCATGGCATATTCAGAAGCAGGTGCAAATCTTGTGCCTATAAAAGGACAGCATGAACTGATCAATCCAACATCATCGACATACATGGATCAGGAGGGGAGCAGATAGTTTGCATTGGGCGCATAGTTGTTGAATAACAGTGCAGTCCTCCTACGGCAAGGAGAAACATTGCATTGCATGCACATAGAATATATGACACATGCTTTCTGCTTTGCCAAAGGAGAATTGCCCTGCCATTCACTCCATGAAGGCTTAATCCATCATGTCGTGTTCATCAGGTCCCCAGTGAAGTAGCAACTTTTTCTCATTACTTCTAGATCTTTGTTTTCCAAGTTCATAATTTTGCATACATGATATACCAAAATACTCTTGAGAAATGTAGTAGAGTACCTAACATAATACTAAACAAAACAAAACATGTCTACCAAGATACCAAGTGTCTAAAGCTCTCAACACGATATATGAGTAGCAAATATGCCAGGTGAAACATATCAAAATACTACTGTCCTAATGAAGTTTTATGCCAGGTAAAACATATCAAAATACTACTATCCTAATGAAGTATGGTCATGATCCTCATTATCAAGCCCTTTCACAGAACCTCCATGTCGAGGCACTGCTAGATACATATATAGCACCAATTAATCCAATGAGCCAGTTGCCATTCATCATACAGATTAGCATAGCCAAATGACTAGCTAGAGATGCATCAAAAATTGATTATAATTCACTGTTTAATCACCTAGACCATAAAAAAAGGTGGCGCAAATCGCAGAAACAAACCGTAGCTCATTCCTTATACCTGGACTATGTTCTTCCCCTAAGCTTTTGATTACATCTCCCACAGCTCTCGTCCTGTGCTCAGCGATGAATGCAACCGCCATTAGAGTTTGAATTTTCTGGTGGGAAAGTAAACACGTCCTTGAAACTACGTAAATTCTCAGCAAAAATATAGATTTGGGAAAATTATTCAGTGCTATATATGAAACAGGTATTTGAATTCTCACGGAATTTGAGCTTACCCTTTGTGAATGGTGTTCAATTACAAAGGGAAGGAACTCAGAGTGCGATCCCTGCAAGCAGTTTCAATAAAATGTGGAGTGGACTGTGGAGAGATAAACGAACAATTGGTCTGTTTCTGTTTGGCAGCTGAGAAAATGTATTGTATAACGTACCAAGGAAAGCGCGATTGCAGATTTTGATCTTTTCCGAGTAGCCCTTGTGATCTGAACCGGTTTGGATATCGTAACAACGTCGTCCCAAGTGAAGACATCATCGGAGGCTGAGACTGATGCAGTACGAAAAGTAACAACTTTGTGAAAAGCTTGCTGGTTGGAACGATCTCGGAACGACGTCGTAAGTGCCTTGGGGAAAGCGCGAAAAGCTTTGGCGGTAAAACGGAAGGCCAGAGAGTCGACAAGTCTGTGAGAGCTGAGGAATGCCGCTGCTGTAGCCCATGAGAGCGGGTTCTAAAAAAAAATGGAAAAATGGGCCTAGGCGGGCTAGGCGGTTCCTGGTTTTTTTTTAAATTATATATTTATTATTTATTATATAATAATTTTTAAATTCTTTTTTTTCCTGACTTTAAAGAAAACCTGAGTTTTAAAGTCTTTATTCGCTGTGATATTATTGTGAGTACTGTGGCATCTGCATGTCCAATTATGAATTTATGAAGCTGGGTTTTTGTATTTTAAACAAAATCTGAAGCTGGGTTGTCTTCAGATTGATTATACCTCAAGCGACACATGCAAAGCCATTCCCTTGAGGTATTGCTTGTATAGCTTCGATAATGCCAAGACAACCACGCACAGGATCATTTTTCCTCGCATTCCCTTCGTGAGAATGCTTCAGCAGCTGCCTGTCTTTGATCAGGTGCAGCCATGGCCATGATCTTTTGGATGTTGCTCACACCAAAGATCTTATAAGTATTTTGGAACTCACTGTACCTGCTGGCTGGAAAGTATGGGGCCATTTCACAGGTCTCATCACATTTTCTCCTCTGCTGCTTGCAGGACGCACAAGCGCTACACCCTGACCCCTATTTTCCATGATTGCTTGTTCTAACTGAAAATGAACCAAACAGAAGCAATTGAGGGTGAGGAAAAGCAAAGAAATTGGGATTTAATTGAGAGTTAAAGAGGGATATAAAGTTGGCTCAAGCTTTTGGTTAACGAGTTGGATAGCATCAGATTTTGTGAAATATATTTTGGCATCACCTCTTATTTCCTTATGATTGCTCTGTTTTGTTTTCTTCACTTGCTATATTTAATAAATTTGTCATCTTTTTTGTTAATAATTTAATTCTTGTTTTTGTTTTGGGCAGAGGCTAATGCGAAGGAAGCTGATAAAGTAGCCAACCAGTTGCAGTCTACTGGTATATCTTCGGGTGGAGATGGAGCTGCTTCTTCTTCAGGTAATACTGTAAATATGTCTATAGATACGTATGTAGCAGTGTATATTTGTATTTCATTGCAATGATTCAAACTTGGTATTGGCTTACTGTTAAACGGTATAGCCGCGCGGCTATACTAAAAACTGGGAAATAGCCGACCGGCGATACTATTTCATTTAAACAAAATAAAAAACCGAGTATAGAATTGAAAACAGAGTATAGCCGCGCGGCTATACTATTTCTTTTAAAAAATTCGAAAAATCAAATATAGCCGTCCGGCTAGACTATTTATGAAAAAAAAATGAGCTGAGTTGTTATTTTAACAGTATAGCCGCACGGCTATACGTTATAAATGCGTAAAGCATAGCTCTCCAACTCTCCGTTAGTGAACCCACACATCTGCCTCTGACTTTACAACTACAATTGATTTATATCTTTTTGGACCACTGATTTATGACTTTGATATCAATATTCGTCTGAGTTTATGGTCTCGTGTTTTGCAAGCGCATATTGATTTTTCTTCCATCCAGTTTGGTTGTATTTGGCATGATATGGAAATCAATACACCCTGGTGTGCTTCATCTCTTGTTGATAGTTTTTTTGGGGTTCTACTCACTTGGTATTCCGGTGCCCTCCAATGCTCATGTATCCATCCTAGTGCGTCACAGGGATCAACTTGAAGCTCTCCACTTCTCCATCTGTTCAATAAGGGGAAAATTGCAGATGGTTTAGGATGAAATGAAAGGTGAAAAATGACGAAGCTTAAAGGCAAAGTTCACGACTAATGTAGGTAAAAGCTAAGCCCCAAGGAAGTTTTAAAACATAGCAAAACAAAACATCCCTGCCAATTGCATTTGTTATGCTTAAAGTAGACCACTAAATATCAGGCGAGGAAGGACCCCTTGCTATTCCAGTTGCCTCAGATTACAACCATAAAATCCATCCAGTTCTTGGGTCAAGTAGTTTCACCAATTACATTGACATTAAAGAGCACTAGAGCCGTCTAATTTAGGAACATGTCATGTAAATCCATCTCTTTCGGGGTCGGGGAATGACCATGTTATTTCATCAAGGTCCGGAGGCTATAGATACCAAAAGCAAACTATTCAAGCAAGCTCCCACTGTAACACCCCGACTCCAAATTTATCCCTTGTTTTAATTAATTTGAGTGAAATTAAGAATTTACCCGTGGGATAGGGGTATTTTAGTCATTTTATTATCCGGAAGGAATTTGGGAATTCCGGATGTACCGTTGCGTAGAGCACGGCGAGATGAGTTTGTAGACACGTAGTGGGCTTGAATCGGAGTTGTAACGAGAGAGTTACGATCGAATGAAACTCAGTGGCACGATCGTAAATATTTGGAAAATGGATTTTTGGTTAAAAGACGGAATTGCCCCCGTCTCTCAGACACTCTCTCTCTCCCGCGCGTCTCTCTCTCTCCTCTGGTTCGCGATCCGCCACCACAGCCGGCCACGTTTTGGCCGGCCGTGCTCTCGTCCGGCCACCAAAGTCGACGGGGCCGGTACCAAAATGACCGGGCCGCCGTCCTCTTCTTACCCCGGCCAGGTCCTGCCGCCAGCCGCCGTGATTTCGCCGGAAAACGAGGAGAAAAGCTCCGGTTTTGGCAGAAAATTCGCCGGCTTCGTTCTCCGTCGTCCGGCCACCGATTCCGGCAAGTGAGGTATGGTTTCTCACCTATTTTCCGAGCTCTAGCTGCCTGTTGGGTAGGAATTGATCGATTTGTAGCGTAGACAACTCGATTTACGAATTGGGTTTTGGCCGGATTTCGGGATGAGATTCCGGCCACTTCCGGTCAGTTTTTGGGGTACGTCCAAGAACAAAAGTGACTCCAAATTAGGTGTTTTACCCAGGGTAGGAGTCTTGAGCCGTGATTTGTGGTTTTTCCGGCGATGGGTTATCGCTTTGAACACCCACGCGCTGCCGGCGCGTGGGCATTGTAGCTGAGGGGCATTTTTGTCCCAATGGGATCCTCAGGTTGTCATGAGCGCGTAGGTGTGCTCGGATCTCAATTTGGATATCGTTAGAGTCCCGAACGGATATCGCATATCGCGTATTTTCCGGGTTCGCTAGGTTTGGATCGTTGGATGGTCCTGAAGTTATAATATGTTGATCTAGGTATTACCGGGATCGTGTAGGATTCCACGGATCGTAAAACGGAGTCCCGGATACTCCGGAAATGCCAACCCTGGGGTTAGGGTTTTAGTAACTGCCCGATCGTGTGATCGTGAGCGATCCGACCGTCCGATCTGGACCAAACTTGCAGGACATGTGTCCTAGAGCCTATAGAACCTATAGGAACTTTCGGATCAGAATTTGGAGGTTGTGGGCCCCGCAGGCCCGTTTGACCCTAGGTTGACCGTGAGACTCCCGAGATAGTCTTACCTTTCCTTGAGGGTTAGGATGACCTAAGTGACAGGTCTTGAGCGTTGTTGAGTTAAATGGATATTGTGGGTTTAGGATATAAATTGGTGAATTTAAATGTGGGAGTTTATGGAATGTTTTATTGGTTGATGTTATTGTATGATATATTTAATTAATTGTGTGGAGGTATAATGATATATAAGGAGATTGAATATTAGTTTACAGTGCTATACGCACTACCCCACGTACCCCTCATATTGTGATTATGCTCAGGCCCAGTGTGAGGTCGCACGCGTCTTTGGATTAGCCGGCGTGTTGACAGACCCCGTACGTGGCCGGGTGCGTCCCGACGTATGAGTGGGAGATATGATGGTATGATGGCTGGTGAGAATGTAGCCAGGCCCAGTGTGAGGTCGCACGCGTCTTTGGATTAGCCGGCGTGTTGACAGACCCCGTACGTGGCCGGGTGCGTCCCGACGTATGAGTGGGAGCTATGTGATTATGTTGGGTGTGTTGTGATGGATAAACCCGAGAATGTATGAATTTATATGGATGTGATGGTTTAATTGATATCAGGAGCCAGGATTGATAGGAAAGAGCTACGTGTGGCTTGATCCCTTAGTAGGGTACGTAGGCAGCCTGGGATAGCGCCTAGGTGCAGCCACGACCTAGACACCACTTAGGTGGTTTTATCGAGTATGATGCGGACCTCGTGGTTGGTCCCTAAACTTGGTTGAATTGAGGCTTGTCCGGTGACTGAGTGAGTGAAGGTGTGTAGGGATGGATTTCGAATTGGATTTGTGCATGTGTGATGCATTAAGTTATTTTGAAAACAGTGTGAGTAGTTCTGCTAAAATCATTTGAAGGCCGGAGGCCATTTATGTAAATTGCATGAGATTATATTGTGCGTGCTGCTGGTTGGGTTATAAAATGTGTTTTATGCAGGTGGAAATTTTGGGGAATGTTCAATATATAGGGGAGACTCTGCCGGCAGAAAGTCTCGTGCCCTTAATCCTCTCTGGTAAAAGAGGACGTAGTTTTAAGGAGTGAACCCGGCGTGGGTGTGATGCCGGGGTCTCCGCAGGGTTCGTCTCGGGTTCCGGGAAATTCGGGGCGGGTCCTGTCACCCACTGAGCACTGACAACCTAAATACTGATGGAATAGAAAGTAAAATGCCTTAAAGTGAGATGAAAGCTCGTTACAAACCAGTCCACCAGCAACTAGATGATCAAACATCCCTGGATATATATAATATAAGTGGGTTTCTGTTGACTTCTCTTTTCAATCCATAGAAACTTCTTCCCATCCTTCTCAACATAGCCATTCATGTGTAAGCCTATTCCATCAAGACGTACACATAAAAAATGTTTAAAATGAAAAGTTGCAAGAAAATCAAATGAACCACAATAAATGAGTTAGCTGGCTTCCTTCGTACATGACCATTGATAAAGCGACCAGACTCAATGCTACCACTGAAGTTTCTAACCCTACAAAAAATCTTATATTCCTCTCTAGCCAACACTATAGCGCACACAGTGTCACCTCCAAAACCTCATTATCAAGCCCTTTCACAGAACCTCCATGTCGAGGCACTGCTAGATACATATATAGCACCAATTAATCCAATGAGCCAGTTGCCATTCATCATACAGATTAGTATAGCCAAAATGACTTGCTAGAGACGCATAAAGAATTGATTATAATTCACTGTTTAATCACCTAGACCAAGGTAAAAAAAGGTGGCGCAAATTGCAGAAACAAACCATAGCTCATTCCTTATACCTGGACTATGTTCTTCCCCTAAGCTTTTGATTACATCTCCCACAGCTCTCGTCCTGTGCTCAGCGATAAATGCAACCGCCATTAGAGTTTGAATTTTCTGGTGGGAAAGTAAACACGTCCGTGAAACTACGTAAATTCTCAGCAAAATTAGAGATTTTGGAAAATTATTCAGTTCTACATCTGAGCATGAAACGGGTATTTGAATTCTCACGGAATTTGAGCTTACCCTTTGTGAATGGACCTCAATTACAAAGGGAAGGAACTCAGAGTGCGATTCCTGCAAGCAGTTTCAATAAAATGTGGAGTGGACTGTGGAGAGATAAACAAACAATTGGTCTGTTTCTGTTTTGGCAGCTTAGAAAATGTATTGTATAACTTACCAAGGAAAGCGCGATCGCAGATTTTGATCTTTTCCGAGTAGTTCCTGAGATATGAACCGGTTTGGATATCTTAACGACGTCGTCCCAAGTGAAGGCATCATCGGAGGCTGAGACTGATGCAGTACAACAAGTGACAACTTTGTGAAAAGCTTGCTGGTTGGAACGAACTGGGAACGACGTCGTAAGTGCCTCTTGGGGAAAGCGCGAAAAGCTTAGGCTGTAAAACGGAAGGCCAGAGAGTCGACGAGTCTGTGAGGGATGAGGAATGACGCTGCGGCAGCCCATGAGAGCGGGTTCGAAAAAAAAAAGGAAAATCGGCCTAGGCGGGCTAGGCGTTTCCTTTTTATTTTATTTTATTTTATATTATATATATTTTAATTTATAACAATTAATATTTATTTTTAAATTCTTTTTATATATATATTCTTTTTTTAAAAAAATATAAAATATAAAATAAAATAAAATAAAAATAAAAAGGAACCGCCTAGCCCGATTTTTCCATTTTTTTTTTCGAACCCGCTCTCATGGGCTGCAGCAGCGGCATTCCTCATCCCTCAAAGACTCGTCGACTCTCTGGCCTTCCGTTTTACAGCCAAAGCTTTTCGCGCTTTCCCCAAGAGGCACTTACGACGTCGTTCCCAGTTCGTTCCAACCAGCAAGCTTTTCACAAAGTTGTCACTTGCTGTACTGCATCAGTCTCAGCCTCCGATGATGCCTTCACTTGGGACGACGTCGTTAAGATATCCAAACCGGTTCATATCTCAGGGGCTACTCGGAAAAGATCAAAATCTGCAATTGCGCTTTCCTTGGTAAGTTATACAATACATTTTCTCAACTGCCAAACAGAAACAGACCAATTGTTCGTTTATCTCTCCACAGTCCACTCCACATTTTATTGAAACTGCTTGCAGGGATCGCACTCTGAGTTCCTTCCCTTTGTAATTGAAGACCATTCACAAAGGGTAAGCTCAAATTCCGTGAGAATTCAAATACACGTTTCATACATAGCACTGAATAATTTTCCTAAATCTATATTTTTGCTGAGAATTTACGTAGTTTCAAGGACGTGTTTACTTTCCCACCAGAAAATTCAGACTCTAATGACGGTTGCATTCATCGCTGAAAACAGGACGAGAGCTGTGGGAGATGTAATCAAAAGCTTTGGGGAAGAACATAGTCCAGGTATAAGGAATGAGCTACGGTTTGTTTCTGCGATTTGTGCCACCTTTTTTTACCTTGGTCTAGGTGATTAAACAGTGAATTATAATCAATTTTTGATGCATCTCTAGCTAGTCATTTGGCTATACTAATCTGTATGATGAATGGCAACTGGCTCATTGGATTAATTGGTGCTATATATGTATCTAGCAGTGCCTCGACATGGAGGTTCTGTGGAAGGGCTTGATGATAATAAAGTTTTGGAGGTGACACTGTGTGCGCTATAGTGTTGGCATTGAGTCTGGTCGCTTTATCAATGGTCATGTAGGATGGAAGCCAGCTAACTCTTTTATGGTTGTTCAATTCATTTTCTTGCAACTTTTCATTTTTAACATTTTTTATGTGTACTTCTTGTTGGAATAGGCTTATGGAGTGCACATGAATGGCTATGTTGAGAAGGATGGGAAGAAGTTTCTATGGATAGAGAAGAGAAGTCAACAGAAACCCACTTATATTATATATATCCAGGGATGTTTGATCATCTAGTTGCTGGTGGACTGGTTTGTAACGAGCTTTCATCTCACTTCAAGGCATTTTAGTTTCTACATCAGTATTTAGGTTGTCAGTGCTCAATGGGAGCTTGCTTGAATAGTTTGCTTTTGGTATCTATAGCCTCCGGACCTTGATGAAATAACACGGTCATTCCCTGACCCCGAAAGAGATGGATTTACATGACATGTTCCTAAATTAGACGGCTCTAGTGCGCTTTAATGTCAATGTAATTGGTGAAACTACTTGACCCAAGAACTGGCTGGATTTTATTGTTGTAATCTGAGGCAACTGGAAGAGCAAGGGGTCCTTCCTCGCCTGATATTTAGGGTTTAGTGGTCTACTTTAAGCATAACAAATGCAATTGGCAGGGATGTTTTGTTTTGCTATGTTTTAAAACTTCCTTGGGGCTTAGCTTTTACCTATATTAGTCGTGAACTTTGCCTTTAAGCTCTTCGTCATTTTTCACCTTTCATTTCATCCTAAACCATCTGCAATTTTCCCCTTATTGAACAGATGGAGAGGTGGAGAGCTTCAAGTTGATCCCTGTGACGCACTAGGAAGATACATGAGCATTGGAGGGCACCGGAATACCAAGTGAGTAGAACCCCAAAAAAACTATCAACAAGATATGAAGCACACCAGGGTGTATTGATTTCCATATCATGCAGAATACAACCAAACTGGATGGAAGAGAAATCAACATGCGCTTGCAAAACACGAGACCACAAACTCAGACGAAGATTGATATCAAAGTCATAAATCAATGGTCCAAAAAGAAATAGATCAATCGTAGTTAAAGTCAGAGACAGATGTGTGGGTTCACTAACGGAGAGTTGGAGAGCTATGCTTTACGCATTTATAACGTATAGTCGTGCGGCTATACTGTTAAAATAACAACTCGGCTAATTATTTTTTTTTTCATAAATAGTCTAGCAAAAAAGTAGACTGCAACTGGTTGGCTACTTTTATCAGCTTCCTTAGCATTAACCTCTGCCCAAAATAAAAACAAGAATTAAATTATTAACAAAAAAGTTGACAAATTTATTAAATATAGCAAGTGAAGAAAACAAAACAGAGCAATCATAAGGAAATAAGAGGTGATGCAAAATATATTTCACAAAATCTGATGCTATCCAACTCATTAACCAAAAGCTTGAGCCAACTTTATATCCCTCTTTAACTCTCAATTAAATCCCAATTTCTTTGCTTTTCCTCACCCTCAATTGCTTCTGTTTGGTTCATTTTCAGTGAGAACAAGCAATCATGGAAAATAGGGATCAGGGTGCAGCGCTTGTGCTTCCTGCAAGCAGCAGAGGATGAGACCTGTGAAATGGCCCCATACTTTCCAGCCAGCAGGTACAGTGAGTTCCAAATTGCTCATAAGATCTTTGGTGTGAGCAACATCCAAAAGATCATGGCCATGGCTTCTCCTGATCAAAGACAGGCAGCTGCTGAAGCATTCTCACGAAGGGAATGCAAGGAAAAATGATCCTGTGCGTGGTTGTCTTGGCATTATCAGAAGTCTCAATGCCCAAATTCAGGGACTTCTATGAGAACTTCATATTATGAAACAGCACCTATAACTTTGCAAGGAGAAGGAAGAACTTGTTGGGAAAAAAAAACCAATCAAAAGAAGAGCATGATCAATCTGATGGTCTCAATTTCCCATCACCGATCCCCCCCTGATCTGGTAAGACTATGATCTTAATTTTTCTCTGCCTGCTTTTCTCTGTTTAAAAATCGTATAGCCGTGCGGCTTTACGTGGCTCATTTCCCATTTTTTTCCGAAGGAATAACCATATAATTTCAAAGTACAGAGGATCAAGCATTCAAACCTCAAACCGAGCAGTACGTGATTGAGGTTCACTTGATGGAGCTTCACAGGAGGTCTCCCACCTGATACTGGTTCATTCAAGTTAGAAACCTCTCGCATTTTGGAGTTCTTTGTGTGGAATCCAATGCTTCACGATATCCAAAGGATAGTAGTTAAAAATGTTGAATCCTAAAAAAATTTCTTCAATTAATGCGAAAATTACAGGACCTTCACCCGAAAAGTAAGGAAAGTTATAGACACAATCAGTTGTAATGAAGCTATCAAACTAATCGGTAGCAATATCAAGCATTACCTCAAGGGAACAATAGCAAACAATACCTCAAGGGAATGGCTTTGCATGTGTTGCTTGAGATATGCAGGTTTCTTAAAAGAAGCACCACATTCTTGGCAAGTATTGGATTTTTCTCTCTCTCCTTCCCCATCCTCATCAGCCTCATTGGCCATTTCCATCTCTTCTTGTAACAAAAGTAACCAAATTATAAGTAAAAATTAATATAATCAATCTGAAGACAACCCAGCTTCAGATTTTGTTTAAAATACAAAAACCCAATTCATAAATTCATAATTGGACCAAAATTAAAAACGGACTGAAACCTTGTGCTGAGAAGCAATCTTTTGGACCTGCAGATGCCACAGTACTCACAATAATATCGCAGCGAATAAAGACTTTGAAACTCAGGTTTTCTTTAAAGTCAGTAAAAAAAAATATATATAAAAAAATATAAATTATTATTATTTTTTTAAAAAAAAATTATATTTATTTTAAATAAAAAAAAATTAAAAGGAACCGCCTAGCCCGCCTAGGCCGATTTTCCCAATTTTTTTTTCGAACCCGCTCTCATGGGCTACAGCAGCGGCATTCCTCATCCCTCACAGACTCTCCGACTCTCTGGCCTTCCGTTTTACAGCCAACGCTTTTCGCGCTTTCCCCAAGAGGCACTTACGACCTCGTTCCCAGTTCGTTCCAACCAGCAAGCTTTTCACAAAGTTGTCACTTGCCGTACTGCATCAGTCTCAGCCTCCGATGATGTCTTCACTTGGGACGACTTCGTTACGATATCCAAACCGGTTCAGAGCTCAGGGGCTACTCGGAAAAGATCAAAATCTGCAACCGAGCTTTCCTTGGTAAGTTATACAATACATTTTTCTCAGCTGCCAAACAGAAACAGACCAATTGTTCGTGTATCTCTCCACAGTCCACTCCACATTTTATTGAAACTGCATGCAGGGATCGCACTCTGAGTTCCTTCCCTTTGTAAATGAAGACCATTCACAAAGGGTAAGCTCAAATTCCGTGAGAATTCAAATACCCGTTTCATATATTGCACTGAATACTTTTCCCAAATCTCTATTTTTGCTGAGAATTTACGTAGTTTCAAGGACGTGTTTAATTTACCACCAGAAAATTCAGACCATAATGGCGGTTGCATTCATTGCTGAGCACAGGAAGAGAGCTGTGGGAGATGTAATCAAAAGCTTAGGGGAAGAACATAGTTCAGGTATAAGGAATGAGCTACGGTTTGTTTCTGCGATTTGCGCCACCTTTTTTTACCTTGGTCTGGGTGATTAAACAGTGAATTATAATCAATTTTTGATGCATCTCTAGCAAGTCATTTTGGCTATATTAATCTGTATGATGAATGGCAACTGGCTCATTGGATTAATTGGTGCTATATATGTATCTAGCAGTGCCTCTCAAGTCTTTCATAGTTAGTAAAATACATACGTGTTTTATTCGGCAAATTTGCTCATCACGTAAAATTAAAAATTGATAAAATATCGTTTTCACAAGTCAGAAGATTTAATCAAGGGAACAGTAAATCTAGAAGAAACCCAAGAATAAAGAAATTGATAAAATGATAGAACAAAATTCGTGCATTCTTTAATCAACTGAAGCATATACCTAAAGAACATAAAACTGGCTTATTACTATACCTATAGTTATGCTCTAAAGTATCGTATATCACTTAAATTTATGCTCCATTTTTGCTCACGTTAGCTACAATCTTGCTTAGGAATTATTGGGGTTTCCATATATGGCAAAAGGGTCTCCTTATAAATTGTGGCTTTAGCTTCCACTTCCACCACCAACAAACTTGGAGAATCAAAGAGAGTTCAAGAAAAAAAAACAAAGAAAGTGAGGAGAAATGGATGCTAGTGTGTTGAGGGTTGTGGTTTTGATGGGCATGCTTGTGCTTTCAATAGCTCAAGCTGATATTAATCCTTCCTATACCAATGCGGTTCCAAATGACCATCCTCTCGATCAAGTTGATGATGTCTATCCTCGCTCTAATACAAATCAAGTGGTTCCAAATGGCCATATTATCTCTTGTGGTTTAAAATGTGCGACAAAGTGCCTAATGAACCCAATATGCCTTGGCATGTGCATGATCAGATGCAAACATAGGCCTTCGAATGTTGTGTATGGTTGTACACATAATTGTGCCAACTCCATTTCCACCACAAGCACTTCCAATTCTGGTAATGATATGCATATATATTACCATATAGGATTATTGATCTTACATTCCTCTATTTAATTACTCTTTCTCTATAACTTTATCATGTTTGTTTGAAATTATATTTTTAATTATTGATATTCTTTGTATTTTTGTTTTATTTGCTTGATTGTAGATAAGCGCTATGTGGAAGGTTTTGTGGATTCATGCTATGAGAGTTGCTCCAAGAATAACCAGATAAATTAATTGACCGGCTATTGTTCCCTAGTTCAACGCAAATGTCGTGTTGCATAAAATAAATGACGAATTATGTCTTTCATATGTAAACTTCTTATTAAAAACAAGAATAAGATTTACTTTATGGGCCCTTTTTTTTGTTCACCATGCATGTAGTTTCTTCAAGTCCGAATCATTTCAATTTTAGTTTTTAGTTTTCATTTTGTGTGTTAAGAGTGTAGAGGAAAAGAGGGAGAATGGAAGTGAGAATGAAAGTGGAGATAACAATTTGCACTTCCCTATACAATGATATTCGGTCTACAACGTAACGTTCAAAAATTTAATAGCAGTGAAAAAATGAAGGTTGGTAAGAAAAATAAAATAAAGGGTGAGACTAGCAATCTTTAAACTAAAATGCAATTGATATACCGTTAATTCTCATTCAAATGTAAATTGTAACCATAATGTTCCATCACGTACACTGCAAATTGCTAAATATCATTTTTCACCAAACAATAAAGATTGAATCAAAGGAACACTAAATCTGCATTAAAAAGAGAAAAAGGAATTGATGAAATTATATAACAAAAATCTATTATTATTTAATCAACTTCAATTTATGCCCGATTGTTGCTCGTGTTAGCTACAATCATGCGTAGGAGTTATTGGGATTTCCAAAGATGGCAAAAGGGTCTTCTTATAAATTGGTTTTATCTTCCACTTCCTCCACCAACAAACGTCCACAATGAAAGGGGTCTTTTTATATAATTTTTTTTTCATGAACAGCCTTTTAAATATAATATATTTCAAGAGTATAGCCGCCCGGCTATACTGGGGCTTTTTAAAAATATTTTTAATAAATTATATTCCTGCGCGGCTATACTATGGAATTTATATACCACGCACCAAATATTCCACCCAAATTTAAATCTATTTCTTTTTTTCTACTTACAGTAATTGAAGTTTTCAGTGTCATTCTTAATTATCATTCTTAAAAGGAGGACTAAAACCTTGTGGTGAGAAGCAATCAGGTTCTTTTGGACCTGCAGATGCCACAGTACTCACAATAATATCGCAGCGAATAAAGACTTTAAAACTCAAGTTTTCTTTAAAGTCAGGAAAAAAAGGAATTAAAAAAAATTATTATTATAATAAATATTTAATATAAAATAAAATAAAACCGCCTAGCCCGCCTAGGCCGATTTTTCGATTTTTTTTTGGGAACCCGCTCTCATGGGCTGCAGCAGCGGCATTCCTCAGCTCTCACAGACTCATAGACTCTCTGGCCTTCCGTTTTACGGCCAAAGCTTTTTGCGCTTTCCCCAAGGCACTTCCGACGTCGTTCCCAGTTCGTTCCAACCAGCAGGCTTTTCACAAAGTTGTCACTTGTCGTACTGCATCAATCTCACCCTCCGATGATGTCTTCACTTGGGACGACGTCGTTACAATATCCAAACCGGTTCAGATCTCAGGGGCTACTCGGAAAAGATCAAAATCTGCAATCGCGCTTTCCTTGGTAAGTTATACAATACATTTTCTCAGCTGCCAAACAGAAACAGACCAATTTTCGTTTATCTCTCCACAGTCCAATCCACATTTTATTGAAACTGCTTGCAGGAATCGCACTCTGAGTTCCCTCCCTTTGTAATTGAAGACCATTCACAAAGGGTAAGCTCAAATTCCGTGAGAATTTAAATACCCGTTACATATATAGCACTGAATAATTTTCCCAAATCTCTATTTCTGCTGATAATTTACGTAGTTTCAAGGACGTGTTTACTTGGCCACCGGAAAATTCATACTCTAACGGCGGTTGCATTCATCGCTGAGCACAGGACGAAAGCTGTGGATGATATAATCAAAAGCTTAAACTGTGAATTATAATCAATTTTTGATGCATCTCTAGCAAGTCGTTTTGGCTATATTAATCTGTATGATGAATGGCAACTGGCTCATTGGATTAATTGGTGCTATGTATGAATCTAGCAGTGCCTCGACATGGAGGTTCTGTGAAAGGGCTTGATAGTGAGGTTTTGGAGGTGACACTGTGTGCGCTATAGTGCTGGCTAGAGAGGAATATAAGATTTTTTGTAGGGTTAGAAACTTCAGTGGCAGCATTTGAGTCTGGTCGCTTTTTCAATGGTCATGTAGGAAGGAAGCCAGCTAACTCTTTTATTGTTGTTAATTTGATTTTCTTGCAACTTTTCATTTTTAACATTTTTTATGTGTACTTCTTGTTGGAATAGGCTTATGGAGTGCACATGAATGGCTATATGTTGAGAAAGATGGGAAGAAGTTTCTATGGATAGAGAAGGGAAGTCAACAGAAATCCACTTATACTATATATATCCAGGGATGCTTGATCATCTAGTTGCTGGTGGACTGGTTTGTAACAAGCTTTCATCTCACTTTAAGGCATTTTAGTTTCTATTCCATCAGTATTTAGGTTGCTAGTGCTCAGTGGGAGCTTGCTTGAATAGTTTTCTTTCGGTATCTATAGCCTCCAGACCTTGATGAAATAACATGGTCATTTCCTGACCCCGAAAGAGATGGATTTACATGACATGTTCCTAAATTAAACGGCTCTAGTGCACTTTAATGTCAATGTAATTGGTGAAACTACTTGACCCAAGAACTGGCTGGATTTTATGGTTGTAATCTGAGTCAATTGGAAGAGCAAGGGGTCCTTCCTCGCCTGATATTTAGTGGTCTACTTTAAGCATAACAAATGCAATTGGCAGGGATGTTTTGTTTTGCTATGTTTTAAAACTTCCTTGGAGCTTAGCTTTTACCTATACTAGTCGTGAACTTTGCCTTCAGCTTCGTCATTTTTCACCTTTCATTTATCCTAAACCCTCTGCAATTTTCCCCTTGTTGAACAGATGGAGAGGTGGAGAGCTTCAAGTTGATCCCTGTGACGCATGTTGCAAACATCATACGAAGGACACGATTTTTCAAGCCAAATTGCTCTCTTGTCATCATTGATTTCCTGAAACTACATTCTTCTGCCAATTTATAGGAAGGAATCTTGAGCACATTAACGAACCTGATCCTTGTCCACCAAAACAGCCCGCATTACAAATGTTATTTTCAGAATAGGGAGCTACTAGAAAACAAAACCCATCAAAAGGAATGCAACCACATGATGAAAAAAACGAAAAGGTAGAAACTCCAGACTCACTGTGGATAATTGATTGTCATTTTTCCCAAGCGTAGATGCAACTCTGGAGAAATACTTTTGTGTCAAGTAGAGTGAATAACCCTTTCCAAGATCTTGACGAGCGCTGTGTGAATTATATTTCAGTCATTGATATTCTTTTTATTTTGGTTTTATTGGCTTGATATTGTAGATAAGCGCTATGTGAAAGGCATCGTGGTCATGCTATGCGAGCTGCTCCAAGACTAATCATATTAATTAAGGGATTGATATAGTATAGCCGCTATACTCCGCTTTTTCTAATTTTTTAACGCAAGGTATAGCCGGACGGTTTTACTTGGCCTTTTTTTTTCCCCTTAATAGTAATACTCGTTTTGCTATTTTTTTAAAAAGTACCGCGCGGCTGTGCTCGGTCTCTTCGCTAATTTTAAAAAATAGTATAGCCGCGCGGCCATACACCCTTTCTCGGCATTGTTTGAAAACTGATATAATAACCCCAGTATAGCCGCGCGGCTAGACAACCAATATCTTAATCACTCCGCAAGACAAAAGCTAAGACTCAGTTTCAGAGAACCAACACGAAACCTAGTAAACTATACAAAATGAAAAAAATATTGCATGACCACTCTGGCAACAGCCAAACTAGAGTTACAAGAGGAACAGAAATTCAAGCCTTAACTCACGATTAGAAAGAAAATTCACTGATGCCGCAATAAAGGACAGAAATTATTCAACCATTACAACCACAAAGATAAAATGTTGGTTCCCGCAACAACATCTATTTGCTTTTATATATAGCAGCATGCTTACAAAGTTAAGAGCATGAGCCATGCATATATATATGACTTCTATTGTCATAACATTCCTATTTAACTTAAGAGCATGAGCCATGCATAGATCATTCTGTATAAACAATATGATATTCATTTGTGAACATCGTAATATTTCATTCTGTATACAAGCAGAGGCAACCTCGCATTCATGGTAAATTGGTAATTAAAATCTAATGAAAATTCTCAGTTGACTTTTGTAATATTCTTATTTTCTTTCAAGTCGAAGCCCTTTGATTGATTGAAGACTATGGTTCGATAGAGATAGACACCAAGTGCTAAATTAAGTATCACAACTTTACTTTGAGTTGACACCTAAACAAGCTGCTAATTAAGGAATTTTATTTCAAAGGAAAGACAAATCTGCCAAAAGGAAAAAGAATGTGACCCACATATTTCTCAATTGTTTGTATTCGCTATTTTAATAAGATTTCCCCGATTATATTTCTATCACTGTGTGGACCTTATTTGTTTCTTTTTATTTATTTTGTTCTTTATAAAAATAAAATAAAAACTCCACTTGGTTCACAATTGTTCTTAGAGTTGATTATAGAGTTACATTAAAAACATCAGACCCCATGTTGATTACGTATATAGCAACAGACAAATGGGAAATAAAAGCTTCTTTCATGGATTGCTAAATTGCCTGTTGTCTTGCTTAAAATGACGAATTTGTAGCTTTTCCGACTGTTTTCGTTCTTTAGTAACGTAATTTAGACCTTTCGTGACGACACTTCTTCTTCGACTGTAAAAACCGTCGCTAACCGTTGCGAATAGATGTTTTTGCGGCCAAATAAAAATCGTCGCTAAACATTGAACGAAATAAAAATTTTGCCATCCCCTATTCGGATAATGATCTTATTCCTACAACTTAATTTTATGAAAATATTGTTAAACTTTTCGCTCTAGTTCTTCTTTTTGACCTTTTACGAAATATTAGGCAGATTGAAGTACTTTTCAACTGTGGCAACATAATCATCACGGATAGTATATCCGGATCAATGATCCTACACAACTAGAAGATAAAATACTGTCTTCCAGCTGATTGATGACCCGAAAGCATCAATAATCCAAGGATGCACTCTAACATACTCCAACTATAACCAACCAAATTGGTGTCATCAAACCTCAAGGCTATATAAATCACAATGGTCTAGGCATAACAGCGCATCGTTAATCATCTGAATCGATTAAATCCTGTCAAGAACCTGGACATGACAACAGAGAATTCTTTAATATTGATACAATAACAGTGCATATGAAAACTAATTTAAAAGCCAAATCCCAATAAGATTGCATACTGCATCATCACTGCAGAAATCAACAACCAGAGGAGAACGCAATAAAACCATGTACTACGAAATATCTCCCATCAAAACCAGTTAGAATTTATTTTCAGGTTTGCATTCCATCAATTTCACAAAATAGTAAGATTTCAAAGCTTCCAACCAACATAAGCATGTAACCAGATCCTAACTCGCTTCCCAGAAAGCAGACCAGACCAAAAGCCAAGCCAAAATAAAATCAAAGAAGGAACATAAATTCAAGCCTTAACTCACGATTAAAAATAAAACACGACACCGCATTAAACGAGAGAAATGATTGCACAATTAAGAGGGATGAATTTCAGGAACAGCAAGAAACAGAGTAGAGCCGGGTCAATGGAACTCACTTATCTTCATCCACACAAAACACTAAGAACACATGAGCATCAGAGGGCACCAGAACCCCAAAAACTATCAATAAGATATGAAGCACACCATAATCTAGCAATATCTATGTCATTCAAAATACAACCTAACTGAATGGAGAAATCAATACGCGCTTGCAAAACAAGAGATGACAAACTCAGAAAAATATTGATATGGAAGTCCTAAACAAAATGTCCATTTATGACATCCCATTTGCCCCATAAGAACCAACCAACCCCAGAAGGAAAGGCCTAGGCTTAAACATCCGCACAAGTTTAAAACTTGAACAGATGCCAAATACAGGTCATCAGAACATAGTAAAATTTAGATTTTCCTAGAAGCAATACGAGTGCCTGTGCACAGCATTCATGCTCATACAGTGATGCCAAATACTTCACTTCAAACTAGTCTCAAGGAAAGAGATCATTTTAGATGACAGGTACTTGTAAATCCAATAACGTAATAAATGGATACCAATAATCAACCAACCAAACAAACAAACGGATACCAATCTTCAAACTAGCAGAGCTCAAAGGTCCCTCTGAAAACTATCCCAACTTCTTGGTTTCATTAAACACTTTGAAAATGGTGAATGAAATTGAGAATGGTGATCCAAAATTTAAAGGAGGTGTCTAGAATTAAATTCACGACATAGCTTAAATTGACAAAATTGACAGACGCCGAGAAAGATTACTATGTCTTCTTCGGCAATGTCAGTGGAATATATGAACAACATTCATTAACCTCCAATTCTAATTTTCAATTTTTAACTTCATTAAATTACAAAAAGATTGACAATTCAATGAAAGTTTGAGCCAAACCCTATTAGCGTCTACACAACCGGAGCCGAGAAAACCTCACGCCCCAGAAATTGTTGAAAATTAAGGTTACAAAATATGACTATTAAGAATTACCTCAAAATTAACCATGATTTTTCAAACCCAGAACCGACGGAGCTCTTACTTTCCACCGTAAGGTACAACAGAGCCGTCGTTCTCATTCGTCTCAACTCTGAACCGGTTCTGCCACAATTACAGCTCTTTCCAGGTTACAACACGCAAACGTCGTCGTTTATGCTTCCGCAGTTCATGAGAGTAAAAGAATGGTAAAAGATAGCAATTGGGTTTTCTTGTGGCCCAAAGATATATCTGTATCTGGTAATAAGAAATAGTACAGCCGGTCGGCTTTACTCGGCTCTTTTGTTTTACTTGATCACCTTTTTTTTTAATAAGAAATAGTATAGCCGCGCGGCTATACTAGTTTTTTCAAAAATCGATTTGGGTTACAACCGGCGACGCGCCGTACACATCGGCGAGTAGCTTTGAGGATTTGAATCTATCGCCAAAGGTGCTAAAGGATATGTAGAGATGGGGTTGAAGAAGCCAAGTAAAGTCCGAGCAATCAATTTGCCCATGATTCCCTCCCCACAAAGATCTTATTGGATTGGGATGCTCAGCCGGGTCAATCCCAATATTGAAGCTCCTCAAGCACTCTGTATTTGAATAGAAATTATAAGGTGAATGATATACAATTTACTTAAAAGAAAGAAAGAAAGGCTCTTCTCTTTGTTTGTGGAAATTGAATATAGCTGAGCTTTTTAGACTAGAGGATTGATGGTGGTAAGTGAATGTGGCAGAATATGGAGGTCCTTCAGAAGATGGGGAAGTACACGGGGATAAATGCAGAGTGTGCGGTCCCAACGGAGAGGATGAGTTCTACGTCCATTCAATCTCAAGCACTAGTGTCAGTAAAAATTGTGATTGGAACCCCTTGTACAATTAGGAAATTGATGTCTATACTTGTTTAAATAAATAGTATAAATCATATAGCCGCGCGACTGTATGTATATTTTGGGAATAGTATCGCCACGCGGCTATTCCCAGATTTTCCCAATTTTTTATTATAAAAAATAGTATTAACTAATGCAAACTAGAAGGGTCCTTTTTTCATAATTTTTAAAAATTAAATATTATAACCGAGCAGTTATACCATTTAAATAGAATGTATTTAAAATTAAAAAGAAAGAAAAAGATTTATACATATATATACATATATATTGGAAAAGTTGTGAGTCTACTTCTTACTCAGAAACATAGAGGCAGCACTTGGTTCTTATGTAAATCATAAAACAGTGAAAATAATAATAATTTGCCCAACAACTGCAAATTCGTCAAATATTAATCATCGATATTTAGGCACCCAATATGATGCTATTTTTCTCTAGAGTTATATATATATATAATGATGTATAAACACCAAAAATTGCTAAATTATAAATTTAACTTTTGACGCTCATCAGATAAATATTTCGGACTTAATCAAATGAAATCAAAAGAGAGACACCTTCAATTATGCTCAAAATGATAGTCCTGCATGCATCGCTTCAATATATGCTGCATTACAGCTCATGTAATTAGCTGCAATTGGCAAGGATGTTTTGTTTGCTATGTTTTAAAACTTCCTTGGAGCTTAGCTTTTACCTATATTAGTCGTGAACTTTGCCTTCAAGCTTCGTCATTTTTCACCTTTCATTTCATCCTAAACCGACTGCAATTTTCCCCTTATTGAACAGATGGAGAGGTGGAGAGCTTCAAGTTGATCCCTGTGATGCATGTTGCAAACATCATACAAAGGACACGATTTTTCAAGCCAAATTGCTCTCTTGTGTTCATTGATTTCCAGAAACTACATTCTTCTGTCAATTTATAGGAAGGAATCTTGACCATATTAACGAACTTGTCATTTTTCCTAAGTGCAGATGCAACTCTGGAGAAATACTTTTGTGTTAAGTAGAGTGAAAAGGGAGCACCCTTTCCAAGACCACTGCAACACAACAATGAATCACCAACAATAACTAAACAAAAAGGCAAACCACAATAATTAACAGTAGTCTCCTTAGAAATTGTGGCTTTAGCTACCACTTCCACCGCCAACAGACTTCGAGAATCAATGTCACGCCCCAGACCCGGGGTCGAGGAAAACCCCGCGCCAGTGCATGAGAAAATAAAAAGTAAAAAAAAATAATTAAAAAAAAAGAAAGAAGAAACATGAAATAAACTTTTCTTATAAAACTAGCTCCCAAAATCTTACAACTTTACATTAAATAACGCTCTATCACTCTCATCTAATTCGGCCTCAACTGGTTTAGTCCTTTTTTTGCCCACTAATTCATCTGAAAAATTAAACAGGGTGAGGGGTGAGCAACTACAGCTCAGTAGGGACATGAGACCTTACCACAGTAGATTGACATAACTAAATTAAGTGACATGCAATCATACAGCCAAATATCATATTATTAATAATAATGCATGAATGCTCTTCATCTAATCCCGTTAATTCATATAATTGGATAAGCAGACATGCACGTCCCATACTATGCTTATACCACTTGGTCCCGAATGCCCATTTATATGAACTAACACCCATTTCAATCATCCCATAATTTCCCTTTTGTTAGTCATCTTGTCTAACTCCCTTTCGCCAGTCCCGAATCACCCAATAAAAACCATGTGCACTGTAGGATCCCTGAGACCTGGTACTTGCCAAGAGTTAGACTCAACTACACAAAAGACTATTTCCTTTACCCTCTTTTCCATTATTATCTTCTCCACCCAACAACTCCAACCAATTACCACGACATGATATAATTATACCAACATTATTCAAGTAGTTCACAATACGTAAATATCCTATATCAAGAACATTATACAATATCACACATAATATAGAGCTCACGAAATTTAATTAATCAAATAATAATATCATGCATAATATATTGCTCACGAAATTTAATTAGATCAATCCCCGTAAAGTCCCCCAGGAAACCCCTACCTCGATTCCAAAGCATTGCTCCAATTTAAGAAAATACAAGCTAAGCCCTGTATCTTTTCCAAGAATTTCACCATCATTATCATCTCTCTCTCTCTCTCTCTCTCTCTCTCTCCTCTCTCTCTCTCTCTCTCCTCTCTCTCTCTCCTCTCTCTCTCTCTCTCTCTCTATTTTATTTCATTTCTCTCTCTTTCTCGTTTCTTTTGTTATTGACAACATAGGGGAGATGCCTTATTTATACTCTTACAAAACTTGGGCATGAAGTAAGAATAGATATATGGATAAGCTTAATGAATAAGGATAATTACGAATATAGGAAGATAAAATCAAGATATTTATTAACTAACTAATTTCTTACAAGAGTTGTCAAAACACACAAGCTTTAAGCTTTAAAACAATGACACATATATTGGTGACAAGGATGAAATTTGCATGTGCCTAACCCACTCCCCCTTAAAATGACTAAACTCATATGTATATATATAATAACAATAAAAATTACCATGTCAATCCTTTTGTCCAAGTTAACTTGCTCAAAAAGATAAAAACAGATTTTCTTTAGCTATTTAATACACAAGAAATATCTAAGGATTTAGAGAAAAACAAATAATATAATTTATAGTTATTCAAATGTATATATATATTTACTAATACAAATAATTATTAAAATAGCATTGTAAACGTAAAACAGTACATATATATATTTATAAATATTTAATCTTAAAAAAAGAAAAAAGAATATGGATTCTCACAATCAAGTAGAGTTGAATTTTAAAAAAAACAAAGAAAAGTGAGGAGCAATGGATGCTAGGGTGTTCGGGGATGTGGTTTTGATGAGCATGCTTGTGCTTGCAATAGCTCAAGCTGATATTAATCCCTCTTATACCAATGCGATTCCAAATGGCAACACTCTTGGTCAAGTTGATGATGCCTCTGATCCTTCCAATACAAATCATGTGGTTCCAAATGGTCATCTTATTCCTTGTGGTTTACGTATGTTCGAGAAAATGCATGGTGAGCCCAATATGCCTTTGCTGCATATGCATGATTAAATGCAAGTCAACTCCTTCGGTCCTTCGGATGTTGTGTATAATTGTACACAAAGCTATGCCAACTCCATTGCCATCACAAGGATTATTGAGGTAATGTTAAGATATAATGAACAGTTATTTCACTCCCCTGGCAGTTTAGATAATGATATTCGTCCTGTGGCGTAATTTTAGGACTTTTTGTTGTTCGAAAAAGATATCCGTTTCTAGTACCGAACTTAATCCAGTTATGTCTATAAATATTACATAAAATGGTTCTTCTGCTTGAGCTTTTAGAAAAAATATTATGCAAATAGGAAGTACTTCTTAACTTTAGCAACAATCCATTTTGAATCATCTTAATCGATTAAATCCTGCCAAGAACCTGCAAATGACAACAGAGCCTTGTTTAAAATTGTATCAACAACCAGAAGCAATAAAACCATGTACTACCAAATCTCTTCATCACTTTCACAAAAGAGTAAGATTTCAAACCCACATAAGCATGTAACCAGATTCCAACTCACCCCGCAGATCAAAAGCTAAGACTGACTTTCAAAGAACCAGCACAGAATAGAACCTAGTAAAATATTGCATACTCTTACATGACATCAGCCAAAATAAAATCAATGGAGGAACATAAATTCAAGCCTGAACTCAGGACTCAATTGACACCGCATTAAAAGAGAGAAATTATTGCAAAATTACAAGGGATGAATCTCAGAAAGAGCAGGAAACATATAAGACCCGGGTCATCAGTAAAGCACTAGGAAGGATACATAAGCATTGGAGGGCACCGGAATACCAAGTGAGTAGAACCCCAAAAAAACTATCCACAAGATATGAAGCACACCAGGGTGCATTGATTTCCATATCATGCCAAATACAACCAAACTGGATGGAAGAGAAATCCATATGCGCATGCAAAACATGAGACCACAAACTCAGACGAAGATTGATATCAAAGTCATAAATCAATGGTCCAAAAAGAAATAAATCAATAGTAGTTGTAAAGTCAGAGACAGATGTGTGGGTTCACTAATGGAGAGTTGGAGAGCTATGCTTTACGCATTTATAGCGTATAGCCGTGCGGCTATACTGTTAAAATAACAACTCGGCTATTTTTTTTTTATTTTCAATAAATGGAATTGCCGAACGGCTATATTTGATTTTTCTAATTTTTTTTCAAATAGTATAGCCGAGCGACTATACTCTGTTGTTGATTTTAAGTACAGCCGTTCGGCTATACTCGGTTTTCCCAATTTTTTAAAGAAAGAGTATAGCCGCTCGTCTATACCGTTTTGTTTATGTTAGGTACCTACTACATTTCTCAAGAGTATTTTGGTATATCATGTATGCAAAATTATGAACTTGGAGAACAAAGATCTAGAAGTAACGAGAAAAAGTTGTTACTTCATTGGGGACCTGATGAACACGACATGATGGATTAAGCCTTCATGGAGTGAATGGCAGAGCAATTCTCCTTTGGCAAAGCAGAAAGCATGTGTGATATATTCTATGTGCATGCAATGCAATGTTTCTCCTTGACATAGGAGGACTGCACTGTTATTCAACTACTGCACTGTTATCTGCTCCCCTCCTGATCCATGTATGTCGATGATGTTGGATTGATCAGTTCATGCTGTCCTTTTATAGGCACAAGATTTGCACCTGCTTCTGAATATGCCATGGTAGAATCTAATGGATATGCCCCATACAATTCTGGCCGGGAGGTTCTCTATCTCTTTCATGCTTTCCGGGTTCCCAATTCCCTTCACAATCATGCCTTTGCTAATCAACACAACACACAAGGACTTGTCCCCAATTCCCAGTTCCCCTATTTTTATATGTATATTTTGTAGAATATGTACAATTCAAACCACACACATATATTTAACGACAAAAAAATACTTATCATAAGTAGTTATAAATTACAATTGCCCATGAGTACTAGTTAATTATAAATATACTTGATGATCACGAACCTTTTGATTGCTCCTGATCAAATTTCCTGGGGAGAAATAGAGCTGTTGTGACAAACTTATAATAAGTTGGATTGGAGACAGACCAATTTTGCGCATTACTCATATGGCAGCAATCATACATGTGTGTTGGATCAATTGACAATTGGCAATGGTAGCGTTCCCACTCCCATACATCTGAGTTTGAAATGCAATCTCAGTATAGCCGTGCTGCTATGCTATTTCTTTCAAAAAAGAAAAAGAAAAATCTGAGTATAGCCGAGCGGCTATACGATTTCTGAAAAAAATTACGAAGACCGGCTATAATATTTTTTATTAAAAAAAGTGCTATAGCCGGGCAGCTATATACCTTTTTTTATTTTTTTGGTAAAATAGTATCGCCGGATGGCTTGACTCGGCTCTTTTTTATATTTTTTCTTAACAATTGCTAATTTTTTTAAAAATAAAAAGAGGTATAGCCGGGCGGCTATTCTCCTTTTTCTATTTTTTTTGTATATTTTTTTAATTAATAAATAGGATATTCGCTCGGCTATACAATTTTTTTTTACCCAAGAAATAGTATAAAAGAGAGGAATTATTCAACAACTACAGGGGATGAATTTCAGGAACAGCAGGAAACATAGAAGACTTGGGTCATCAAGAAATCAATCATCTTCATTCACGCAAAGCACTAAGAAGGATACATGAGGATCTCACCGGAATATCATGCCAAATGCAACCAAACTGAATGGAAACTTAGACGAAGATTGATATTAAAGTCCTAAATCAATGGTCTATGTATCACAACTAATTTGCCTCATAATTAGGAAGAAAAGCCTGAAAATGTAAAGACTTAAACATCTGCAAAAGTTTAAACATATTCCAAATACTGGCTGGGAAATTGTTAAATTTATGATTTCCTAGCTGCAATACCGGTGCTTGTATTATTTTTTGATATTCTTCTTTTATGATACAATGATGCCATACTTCACCTCATAGTAGTCAAGAAAACCAATGTCAAGACAAATTAGATACCAATCTTGCATTTTTCTTCCAACAAGTAAGAAATAATCTTAGCCTTCTCAATTCTTTCATAGTTAGTAAAATACGGAAGGGAAAAATACGAATAAAATACATTCGTGTTTTATTTGGCAAAATTTTGGCAAATTTGCTCCATCACGTAAACTTAAAAATTGCTAAAATATCATTTTCACAAGTCAGAAGATTTAATCAAGGGAACAGTAAATCTGGAAGAAACCCAAGAATAAAGAAATTGATGAAATGATAGAACAAAACTCGTGCATTCTTTAATAAACTGATCATCATATATCTAAAGAACATAAAACTGGCTTATTACTATACCTATAGTTATGCTCTAAAGTATCGTATATCACTTCAATTTATGCTCCATTTTTGCCCATGTTAGCTACAATCTTGCTTAGGAATTATTGGGGTTTCCATAGATGGCAAAAGGGTCTCCTCATAAATTGTGGCTTTAGCTTCCACTTCCACCACCAACAAACTTGGAGAATCAAAGAGAGTTCAAGAAAAAAAACAAAGAAAGTGAGGAGAAATGGATGCTAGTGTGTTGAGGGCTGTGGTTTTGATCAGCATGCTTGTGCTTTCAATAGCTCAAGCTAATATTAATCCTTCCTATACCAATGCGGTTCCAAATGACAATCCTCTCGATCAAGTTGATGATGTGTATCCTCGCTCTAATACAAATCAAGTGGTTCCAAATGGCCATATTATCTCCTGTGGTTTAAAATGTGCGACAAAGTGCCTGATGAACCCAATATGCCTTGGCATGTGCATGATCAGATGCAAACATAGGCCTTCGGATGTTGTGTATGGTTGTACACATAATTGTGCCAACTCCATTGCCACCACAAGCACTTCCAATTCTGGTAATGATATGCATATATATTATAAGATTATTGATCTTACATTCCTCTATTTAATTACTCTTTATCTATAACTTTATCATGTTTGTTTGAAATTATATTTTTAATTATTGATATTCTTTGTATTTTTGTTTTATTTGTTTTATTGTAGATAAGCGCTATGTGGAAGGTTTCGTGGATTCATGCTATGAGAGTTGCTCCAAGAATAACCAGATAAATTAATTGATCGACTATTGTTCCCTAGTTCAACGCCGATGTCTTGTTGCATAAAATAAATGACGAATTATGTCTTTCATATGTAAACTTCTTATTAAAAACAAGAATAAGATTTACGCAAGTACTACTTATATTGCTTTATGGGCCCCTTTTTTTGTTCACCATGCATGTAGTTTCTTCAGACCCGAATTATTTCAATTTTAGTTTTTAGTTTTCATTTTTTGTGTTAGAGTGTAGAGGAAAAAGAGGGAGAATGGAAGTGAGAATGAAAGTGGAGATAAAAATTTGCACTTCCCTATACAATGAAATTAGGCCTACAACATGATGTTAAAAAATTTAATAGCAGTAAAAAAATTAAGGTTGGTAAGAAAAACAAAATAAAGGGTGAGACTAGCAATCTTTAAACTAAAATGCAAATGATATACTGTTAATTGTCATTCAAATGTAAATTGTAACCAGAATGTTCCCTCACGTACACTGCAAATTGCTAAATATCAATCTGCAAGAAAAAAAGAAAAAGGAATTGATGAAATCATATAACAAAATTCTTTTATTATTATTTAATCAACTGATCAGCATATATCACTTAAATTTATGCTCGATGGTTGCTCACGTTAGCTACAATCGTGCGTAGGAGTTATTGGGATTTCCATTGATGGCGAAAATTGTGGCATAGATCGCTTCAATGTAATTAGCTACAATACAATCATGCTTAGAACCATAGATGGCCAAAGGGTCTCCATATAAATAGAATTTAAAAATAAATATTAATTGTTATAAATTAAAAAATATATATATAATATAATATAAAATAAAAATAAAAAGGAACCGCCTAGCCCGCCTAGGCCGTTTTTTCCATTTTTTTTTTCGAACCCGCTCTCATGGGCTGCAGCAGCGGCATTCCTCATCCCTCATAGACTCGTCGACTCTCTGGCCTTCCGTTTTACAGCCAAAGCTTTTCGCGCTTTCCCCAAGAGGCACTTACGACGTCGTTCCCAGTTCGTTCCAACCAGCAAGCTTTTCACAAAGTTGTCACTTGCTGTACTGCATCAGTCTCAGCCGCCCGGCAATACAATTTTCACAAAACCACACGCTGGGCCGGTCTCCCTTAGTATAGCCGCGCGGCTATACTATTTTCACAAAACCACACGCTAGGCCGGTCGCCCTTAGTATAGTCAGGCGGCTATACTATACACAATCAAAGCGTTATGGATTTATTGAATTCAATAGTCGTGCTGCTACAGAAAGAGTACTTCAGTCGTACAACGGTGCCCCTGTGCCAAATGGTGCCCAGAATTTCAGATTGAACTGGGCATCTGCAGGGGAGAATTGAACCGTTGCCAGAGCCCTCTTGCAATCAAACCGTTGAGGCTAGAAACCGCCTCTCTTGAATCTGACTCGACAATCACAGTGGTAAAGCCTTGTTGTCTTGAAAATTTGCAACCCTCCAATATTTGAAACCACTGGCAATTCTTAAACATCTCAATTTCGCCCAATTTTCTGTACAGTTCAATCCAAAAGGTTAGAAACCCTAAACCCATTTACCCTATTCATTAGATATTGCCATTTTCATTCGAAGCTGGATTTTCATAAGAATCCATGGGTTTTAATTCTTAATAAATAGTATAGCCGGTCGGCTATACTCCTTTTTTAATTTTTCAAAAAAAAATAGTATAGCCGAACAGCGTGACCTGGCCCTTTTAAATTTTTTCTTAATAAATAGTATAGCCGCTTGGCTCTACTATTTTGCTAATTTTTTAAGGAAATAGTATAGCCGCGCGGCTGTACCCGTCTCTTTTTTTTCCTTTTTCTTTTTTTAACTTTTTTTTATTATAATAAATAGTATAAGCGAGTGGCCATACTATTCACATATATATATATATATATAGGGATATTGGGATCCTCTTTGTCTTTCATTTTTTTCCCCCATTTTCATTTATCAATGAGAGTAGTTTAGAGTATTATACATTACTCTTAGGTCATTACCCGAGTTTCTATTGTCCCCTTTTAATTTTTTAGTTTTCCAGAGTTATTACCCACATGGATTCTTATGAGATCGTCAGCCTCCTCAGGCATTTAATAAATAAAATAACCATAAGGATTTTGAGCCATTTAACTGAGCAATTTGAAAAAGGTCCTCATATATACGCACATGTGTGGCCTAACCTTTTGATCATCATCAAATGCCTCTATATTTGTTTTGCCAATGGCCAATATTTTACAAAATGTGATCTTCATTTATTCGTTATGTAAATACTGATCACAATTTTTTTCTTCTTTCTAGTGGAGTTGACACATGTATATGTTGGTTTCCACTGGATGTAATTGGTGAAAGCTTGTGTGATATATATTCGATTCGATATATAAAATACCTACGTGTTAGTTACAAACAAGTAATATGTAATGTATATATACACAAATACATATTAAAAAAACCAGTTTATTAATTAAAGAGACTTCCGGGATGAAATAGAGAAAAGTTTGCAAGGAAGTTAGTCTTGAAACTTGAAAGAGTAGTATAGAGAGAGGGAGGCAATTTTGTAATCGCATGTTCAGTGTTAAAAACCAGCAGCCAGCTAATTAAAAAGAGGTGACGACCGACATGGTAAAACATGTGATGGTCAGCCTGTGATTATAATTTCTTGAAATTTAATAGTAACTTTTTTTCTTCTTCAAGGAATGTTCACGTATATACCTAGTAGTACAACAGAGCAGAAGGAAATGAACGGGCAGTAGGTAGCTAAGGCTGTGGTGGGGAATGGTGATGGAATAAATGCTACAGGACCACTTATTCTTCACTGCTATCTAACTAGCTACTCATAAATTGGATGTGCTCAGAATATCCCATGTATATATTTTGCTGGCAATTTTAGCCACACTTCCTTCATCAATATCATCTCACCTATTATATATATAGCTAGGTGCATGAACAAAATCACCACAAGGAAGAAATGAGGTGGTTAGGTCACAGTCAAAGGTGCATGGCTGCATTACTGGGCAATTACTCCTTTGGCAGTTGACTGCTTGCTGGCCTTCTGCTGCGCAGTTTTTATATAGAGTGAGCTTAGATAGCTCACTGCCAAAGGAGATTTGCCCGGCAATTCATCTGCTGTGCAATTTGCAAATTAATATTCACATCCACCCACCCACCAATGTTCATCATGCATGAAGACATGCCAAGGTAAGGATTTATATAGTCCCACTAGATGCCTTAATTGATTTTCAATTAGGTGGTTGGTCTCTATTAGATGCCTTAGTTGATTTTCAATTTGTCTATGAATGAAGACTTGAAAAATAAACGGTTTGGATTGATGAAATTTTTTTTCGTATAATACCTTAAAGGGTGTTCCTTAAATAAAATTATTAATAAGATCGCTTAATGGAAAAAATATATATATATATAACATAGCTGGTCAGTAATAAAGGGATTAATAAAGAGACTTTAATTTTCAATTATTCTCGATGCACAAAAAAATAAAAAATAAAAGCAATAAAAGCGTTTGGTTGCACCACCACATGTTTTGATTGATCACCTGGCTAACTTGTAGCTCATTTTCATTCAGTTTCATATAGGTTCATGAAACTGCAGGGGTTGACCAGTTTGATGGCCACCTTCGTCGTCATCATCACTGGTTGAAAAGAGTACATACATACATACATACATATATATATATATATATATATATATAACTTGTTTCACATCGCTGGAACATTTTAATATTCATTTCCAAGTCATTGTTTTAGAGAAAACTGTGAACCTTAGTTCGTTATCAGAAGTTAGTTATACCTAACTTTCATTACAGATGGGAAACAGAAAAAGGGAGAAGAAGAAGGGAGGAGGAGAAGTATAGGGCACTGCATGTGAACTGTGGAGCAGTAACTGCTTAATTAGTTGAAAGAAATATACGCATGTGGGAACTGGGAATTAATTACTCGACATATGACGCATATGGTTTTGACTCCCAGACCCAGTCAGCTAGCTGCGTTCCCTTCCCTTATATTTTATTCATCTCTGCATATATGAGAATATTCTTTCTAATTATTATGTATAGTATCTAATTGACTTCTCTCAGTCTTCACACGCTACATATCTAATTATGCATTATGTATAATATCTGCTTAGACTTCTATTTTTCTATAGGTTACTTCTAACAATTTCATAATACGCTCGAACACAGAAAACTCATGGAACTTTCACTCCGCAACCACAATTACTTGCTGCGATAACTAAAACCAAGTGATCGGGTTGAGTTTTCTACTTTCTGATTTAGCGTAATTTTAAGAATATTACTATAGTGATCACATTGTAGATCACATTTTTTCTTTGAAGATCCTATGTTTATAATAATAGATGTAATTTGCAGTAAAACATTTGTTTTTGTCTTCTAAAACAAATCAGTATTATTACTAAGATATTTACCATGATTTAAATTGTTAGATGTCCAACAGTTGACATGACAAATATCTATATGTGCACACATAGGTTTATGACATTCTTAACAATTATTGTGGAGCCCCAAAAAGTTGTACCATACTTCCTTCTTCTTTGGCCCAACCAGGAGAGACTTTCATGCATATCGGGTATAGTATTTTTTGTTATCCCAGTCAATATCGCAACTTTTTCATATGTTATTAAATTAGTTGGAGATAGAAAAACAGTGTTGTCTCCGTTACAAGAAAGTTTTTATTTTTTTTTCCAGCGAAACCATACTTCCTTTACCTCCCACACAACTGTCCCAGTCTATAAATTTCATCAATTAATACACTATCCGCTTAGAATAGTAGTTTGAGTTTCCAAACTAATACAGTACCACTTCAAGCGCACACGCTAGCATTCTAAACACAACAATATTATTCCAATGTTCGCAAATGGTTCGCGCTTACTACAGTGAAACACTGAAGAAGAATATTTCCGATATATAGTCCATAGAAATAAAGGTGCAGTTGAATTTAAATTTGATGCTGCTCTCCTTCCATGGCCTGAGCCCTCTTTTCCTTTGAATCTAGATTTCCCTTACTCTCACTACTTGAATGCAAGATATAAAGAGAAACAGAGAATTCTGAGGTGCACGCACAAATCTTACCCACTTTTTAGGTTGCAAGTCCATGTCAAAACCTTGGACCCAACTACTTGTTTAAGCGAGATAAGCATGAACCCTGTTTATGAAAGCTGTTAGATTTGTGTAACTCTGAAGCAAAGGAATCATTATTTGCTATGCCGATTCATGACTGTTAGGTCCACACACTGGCACTGCAGACGATAAATCTGACATGTCACCGCTGGTGTATATCTCAAAACGTGTTTGTGGTTTATAATGCAGACAAATGCACGCTCATGTTTTCACATCAGCAAAGGAAAGTTTCCTCAATCCGGGTTCATCTAGTAACTTCCTTCCACACAATGTAAAGTTTAGCCACACGCATTAATGCTTCGGTTTGGTTTGGCTTTTCTTAACGCCACCTAATCCCCCTCACACGTTCATGTCTTGTCACTTTTTGATTTTTCTTGCTTACTCGGCGCAATTAAAAAGTAAGACAAATAAACAAAATTATTAAATAAAGACTAAAATGGAAAACGTGGAACAACATGTTGAATTTTTTTGGTAATATCTGGGAAACGCCAAGGGCATTTCTGTAAAAATATAGGAAGGTGTACGCATCTATAAAGCCATCCACGGCAAATACTTGCACCATAAACGCAAACGAAAATTGTTCCTGATTTCTTTAGCCGCCACGACGCCATTGATGGAAGCAGATGAAGTAATGGAGCTCTATGATTCTTACTGGTTTCAGCTCGGAATCTTCGAAAAGCAACCAAATTCATCAAACCCATCAAGGATTGAAGCAGACCCAGTTCTTGAAATTGAAGAAAAACCATCAAAACCAGAGCTTTTACGCATCCCGACCCTCCTCCATACCAGGTCCATGAGCGACGAATTGAGCTCCAAAACGAGCTTCAACTTCAGCTCCTCTCTCTCACCAGACTCAGTCCTCCACAGACCAAAGCTCTCCACCATTCTTTCTGGCAAGGAAGCCACAGAAGTTGAAACCCCAATACAGAGACATGTCGAAGAGTCGCCAAAGAAGATTACAAGACGGAGGAGGAAGAAGAAGAAGGGTGAGAGCAAGAGCTTGACAGACCTTCAATTTGAAGAGCTAAAAGGGTTTATGGATCTTGGTTTTGTTTTCTCAGAGGAAGACAAAGAAGATTCAAACTTGGCTTCGATCATTCCTGGGCTGCAAAGATTGGGGAAGAAGGACGGCCAAGACGAGGTCTTTGACGAGTCTGCAATTCCAAGGCCTTACCTTTCCGAAGCTTGGAAGGTGAGGGATCAAAGAAAGAGAGAGAAGCCATTGATGAATTGGAGGTTTCCTGCGTTGGGCAATGAAATTGACATGAAAGACAATCTCAGATGGTGGGCTCACACAGTTGCTTCCACAGTTAGATGACGAATACTCTGCTTCTAAGATTTTTTTTCTTTTTTTCTTTTTGGGTTTTGATTCAATTTCTCTTTCAGTTCTGTATACAGAAGATTTAGGTCAATCAATATTGTTTTACAATCTTGTAAATGTAAATAAAGGTAGAATTTTTTTCATAATCAGCTTATGAATACTTGTTCTTTGCTCTGCATTCTGATTCATAAAAAAACATATATTTTAACCAACTTGAGGGATGTTATTCAAAATTGAAGCTGTCCTGGTTAGTGGGGGAAGAAAAGTAGCTTTGAAATGTCGGACCTATCAAGTTCTCATGAAACATATCTACTTCTGCTCATCCATATCTTAAGCACCCTTGTTAATATTGTTGTCCTTTGCAAAGGATTTACTAGTGTAGTGGTTTGAAGAGGGAAAGATCTTGGGTTTGAGTCCTAGCATTTGTATAGTGTGTGAGTTTATTATGTTATCGTCACTCTAATTAGTATAGTAGTTTGGAGTAATTATTCTCTTAAAAAAGATATTGATTCAAGTTTTAATATTCGTATAGTGTGTAAATTTAATATATTATTGTCTCCCAATAGAAAGGTCCCTCAAAAAATATAGTTATCGTTTAGTTTAATCATGGTCAATCACGGTCCAAAATATAGACATAACTCTCAGTCATTTATAAAATAAAAACGTCACCAAAAACATGTATGATACATTCACGTGGGCTGAGTTATCAGTTACTTGTTGGTGGATTTAGTATGACAATGTCAATAAGCTAATGCCATGTCAGACAACATAGTGAGCTGTGATGACATAATGTTATTACTTGGCTTATTTGGGTGAGAAACTCTTATATAATGGGAATAACACTTTTCGCTATCTCAAGCTAATAATGCATGACATATGGATAAGTTTTCCACGTATCATTGTGTTAGTGGTTGGAAATAGCAAAATAGTGTTATTCCCGTTACATGTAAATCTTTTTGCCTATTTGGAAGTGATAAACAATGTCAGTTAAGGGTCGCACACCACAAGATTGGGAAGGAAAAACAGAATCCATGCATAGTTTTATTGCTTGAGAGTAGATTTATCCATGGATCAGATTTTGATCCGAATCTGATTTGAATTCGATGTAATTAATAGGAGATGGATTGAACTTCTCAATCTAATAATCTGATTACGATCTGAATTGATAATCTGATTATAAATGGATTCGAATATAGAGTATAGTTGATCCGATCTGACTTAGTATGAAGTATAATTTAGTTTTTCTATGCTTTATATTAATATTTTATATGTGTAAATGATGCTTACACTTAAAACTAATTTTTATGATAAAATATCAAATTTTGAGATTAAAAAAAAAAGTAAATAAATACAATTAAAGAGCGAGGCTTCAAATGAAAATTTGATTTTCTGTACATAGCAAAATAAATATGATAATAATCCGAATCCGATGCGAAACGGATATGAATTGATAGGTGCAATCCGATAGTTCAAATATGATTGGAATATAATAATCCGATTATAAATGAATTCAAATTTGGATTGAGGTATATTTGATCCGAATCCAACCCGTTTACAGGTCTACTTGAGAGACTAATTGACAAAGATAGTGTAATCATTTCTTTATGCTCAAGTTTGATTCTCCTCCTTCTACAAAGTAATTAGAGTATCGATTTTTCAAACAAAATATATATCGTGCTTACACTCGTAGATATGACAAATTTTGAGGAACTAGCTCATTAAAAGAGATGAACACAAATAAACTCCGTAGCAAAGCAAGTGACTAATTGATTAATTGTACGCAATTAATTATTAATGACGCATCACCTGCATGAACACAATTTTCTACATCCTAATGTGGTATGGGATCGATAGTATACGAATACGTTGAGAAAACTCAAAGGTCAATCAATAAACAAAGTTTTGCTAAAAGTTCCAATACACCTTAGTAATTTAGATTTTCCCAAAAAGAAATCGTCGAAATTAAATTATATTAAGTAATCATATCGCTTTCACGTTATTTTTGGACCGTTGGGTAACTTTTAGGCCTAATTTACGGGGCCCATCGCAGTTGCCCAACGTAAACACACCGCCCACTGTCTACTGCCCACTGTTTTTTTGCTCCAGGACCGAATTACCCTTAAAGATTCTTCACAGGATCTCACAGGTGTGGAAGGCTAGTTTAGTAATATGAGATGACATAGAATGAGAGAATATTTGCTTTGCGGAAAGGACTCACGAGGGTCCTTCCAAATAGAAGCTGCAGTCGCCAAATACAAAGCTCTGCCGTCTGCTCCTTCCTTGACCCAGTGTTGTTGTTCTTCTTCAGGGACGGTTTGCGGGTCATGGAGGAGACCATGGACTCTCTCTGGTTTTTCAGCAATGTCTTCTTCTCTTCAAGAGCTACAATTTTGGGTCCAATTGAGCCTGTTGAAGAATCTGTCAAGGAAGAGTGCTCCAAACCCATGTCACCAATTGCTCAAAATCAGCAGAAAAATTCCCCACCAGAGGCCCAAATGTCAGTTCCATTGTGCCCAAAATGTGAAGAACCAGAAAGTTTGAAGCTTGATATGGAAGTGGTGGAATATTATTATTCTCCAAGTCCAAGGTCAACAGAGAAGGAAAAGAGTAGGAGGAGGAGGAGGAGGAGGAGCAAGAGAAGTGTGCAGCAGCAGAGACATAGGAGAGAGATTCTTGGAGAGCTTGATGAGTTGGGTTTGGATGATCATGTGAAGGAGGTGATTTCTGGGTCCTGGTCGTCCTCTAATTGGATGGTTGAGGGAAATTGTGGGTATAATCAAGAATGTCAGAACAATACAATGCCTTCAATCAGTGATAATATGGCCATGAAAGAGCATCTCAAGTCATGGGCTTATGCTGTTGCATGCACTGTCAGATGAATTTAACCAGCTTCTAGGATTGTCTAATTATAGACTTGAAGAACACTAATCTCACCTCTGCTTCTCTCTCTCTCTCTCTCTCTCTCTCTCTCTCATATGCGACTAATTCTGTTGTTTGATCTGGGCATGCCCTTGACAATGTAATGATCTGATATCTGATTCTGTTTAATGGTATTTTAATTTAATTCCGACTGAGTAAAGCATTTTGCTGTTTCCTCTTCTTCTCTGTTTTTCGGATTTCATTCTTTAATTATGTCAATTTAATATGTGTCAGATGACTCTACATGAAGTTGAAATGTGAAGGCAAGTTAGCAACTTTCAGGGTCAGCTTCCCCCTCTTAGACACAAGTTCTGTATAGTCTCCGCTATGTGCACCTTGCAAAATGTTGAATGACAAACCAAAGCTTGGCTTATTTAGCAGAAAAAAACCCATTGCTGGGAAACTTCAGCACCAAAAAAATCCAAAATAAGAATTCACAGGGAAAGTTCTGTCATGTCAATTTATGCAAGTAACTGTTCAGAAAAAACCAGAGGGGTTCACATGCGTATAATAGACCCATTGACTATCTATCCCATGGCTAGGCTGACTATTCTACTGCAGTGCAGCCCATGTCGTCCTATTAAAAAATTGCAACTTTCTGCTTTGAACTTTTGGCAGAAGTGAATAAAGGCAGAACATAATCCATCAACCATCTGCAACTTGTCAATCAAAGTTAAATTTTTTGTTTTTATCAGTTTGAGAAGTTTCTCTTTTGAGTATTGGATGCACTGATCAAATTGTTGGGTGCATTTAGAAGAGGAAAAATAAGAAAACTTGAGGTTGCCCTGATATTACCTCTGGGCTGGGCCCAAGTATATATTGGACTGGGCTTGATTTGGCGGTAAACCAAACCCGACCCAAAGAGAAGCGCCGCCGCCCACCAATCCAACTTCTCTGCGAGCAACATGCCTGATTACGAAAGACCAAAACGAAGAGAGTGAGGAAAGGTGAAGGCGGAGATGACGGACCTAAAACCAAGGCGGCTGAGGGGCCACAAGGCCACTGCCACGTGTTGCATCGCCTCTGTTGCTACCCCTGGCCTCGTCGCCACTGCCGGAGAGGTATGGTTATGGAGGAAATTTATAAAAAAATCAAAATTATGGTGTGTTTACATTTTATGGCAAATTGGGTACTTTCGTGTTGAAATTAAATAGAGCTTGGTGTTCATGTTGTGTATTCAGGATGGCTGCGTTTGCTGGTTTGATATGCGATGCAAAGATGTGATAGATATTATGGAGGTGGGAGAGGAACCCGTTTCATCATTATGTTTCAGGCCAGGTAATGATATATATGATTATGTTTCACATATATGTTTAGAATGAAAAGTTTGCAAATTGAATTTTGTGGGTTGGCTCAGGAAATGAAAATATGATATTTGTTTCATCTGAGAAGCAAGTCAAGAGCTTTGATGTGCGTCTGGTAATCATCGACTCTCTCTCCTCTCGCTGTCTGAGTGTTTCTGATAGTTTTACTTGTTCAATGCTTATAAAGTTTTTTTTTTCCATTTTGAAGGGGAGTTCTTGCTCATGGAAGCCATTGGAGAGTTATGATTATAATAAAGAGGAGATAAATCAGGTATCAGTATTCAGGGAGACTTGGTTTTGATTGCTTAATTAACTTAAACTTAGCTACCCATTTTCTGGAGCTTATCTGCGTGTATGTTTGTCTATGTAGATTGCATGCAACTCTAAGTCTTCTTTTCTTGCTGCTACGGATGATGGCGGTGAAATTAAGGTCACTTCTTATTACCCATCTTGCAGTTTTTGCAGTTCATATATAATCTGTTATCTATCTCATAATGTATGTAGTTTGTAATTTCAGCTGCTGACTGTAATCACTGTGGCAGATTATTGACATTTGTCAGAAACGCATTTACAAAACATTAAGAGCTGGCCATACAAGTGTCCGTTTTTTTTTTTTTTTTTTTTTTTTTTTTTTTTTTTTTTTAATCAACCTTTTTGTTTCTTTTTTCAAAATTATTTGTTAAAATAATTGGCTATCAACAAAATATTCTGCTACAAAATATCTCTTCTGCATATTTTTTTTTTTTTTTATTTTTTTTTTATTATTTCAATTGCATTCCTTCCAAGCATGATCCGTTCCCTTGAATTCTTTGCTATCTTTCCCTTGTATTTCCGTCACCTTAACTATATACTACACACAGATTTGTAGCAGCGTGCAATTTCTTCCTTGGAGACCGTGGGAAGGTATATCTATAAGATTTTCCTTGCCGTCTCTCTCTCTCTCTCTCTCTCTCTCTCTCTCTCTCTCTCTCTCTCTACCATCAATTGTGCTGATGGTTCCTGGTTTAAAATATGCCTGAAATATATCAATTCAGCATGTTGAAATCATTGAGTATTAGTTGGCATATTCTAAAATGAAGGCCATTCCCTTCATGTAAGCATTTTTCATCTATCATGGTAATTTCAACGAAGCTTTGAGTGTCTCTTATCATGTTTTGATTATGTGCTAACATATACAAATCTTAGCTGTATTGTGAGTCCACTGTTGGGTATCTTTAAGGATATACTTGAACAAGGTACATAGAGCATAGATGTCATATCAGTGCGAGTTTCTTGAAGAATCCAGTAAAACGTTCATCTCTTTCTACTCACAGATAATTGACTGCCAACTTCTGTCTTGGGGTATCTTGGGCAGTTATCACTGGAGGTCTTGATTCAAAGCTTGTGATGTGGGATTTTTCCAAGGGACGCCCAAACAAAATTATGAATTTTGGTAAAGCATCTATCTTTTGTAATCTATAACTTTCTCTGCATATTGGTTGGTTTTCATAGCTCTTATGACATTTAATCAAAGTTGGAATTGTTTCCACTTCAGCAATTCATTGGAACATGAATTCCTTACCTACAGAGTTTGCCACTTTGCATTGCTTTTTTTTTTTTTTTTTTTTTTTTTTTTATTTCATTTTATTCTTCTTTCAAGTACTGGAGAACCTTTGTAGAATTTTTTATTATTGATTTTCTGGTCTATAAGATACGTAAGAGTAGATCTCTGTCCAGCATTCTGAATATGTTTAGGCCATATAACCAGGTGTGAAGTGTGTGGTCTACGAAGTTGGAGATAGAGCAGGAACTGATAAGCTTGTGGTAGGCTAGGAGAAACGTTGACCTTGAGTAATTGAAGGTTCAAGGTGTATAGAGCCACGCATGCACGTGCATGCATGCATATATGCTTAAAAGTTTAAAATATCTAGGGCAAAAAAATGCATGCATCTTTGCAGCTGCAGGTGATTAGACAGGCTGTGCACACAATAATTTAATATGAAAGTTAGAACCAAAGCCTTTCAATCCTCTCGACATGTTGATGCACTTTACTTTGCTCCTAAAAAGATGATCATTTGATGATTTTATCTTTTATAAGAACAGATGAAAGTCAATGTGGTTCAGTGGTTGGATTGATCTTTTTGTAAAAATCTTGCTTGCTATTCTTCACTGCAGGCTTGTCTGACGCAAATAATGGTGATGGCAAGGAACAGTGTTTCAATCCTGCTTTTGTTCATGCAATAGCAGTTCCAGAAATTGATATGTTAGACAAATCAGACAAGGTTTGTGTTGTGGCTAGGGGTGATGGTGCAGTTGATGTGATTAATATAGAAGCTGAACTTGCTACCATGAGGTCAAAAGATTCTAGAAAACCTCAGAAAGGATCTCAATCAAGATCAAAAGAAAAGAAATTCCCAGATCAAAGTGGATGGAAAAGGTTGCATTTGGATTACTCATCAGGCGGTCATGCTGCTGCAGTCTCTTGTGTGTGAGTAATAGTCTAATAGACTTAAATGCAGTGCAAGGAAACTTAATTCACTTATTGACTAGTATGTATTTTTCAGGGCATTTTCGTTGTTTGGGGATAGAGGAAGATTTATAATTTCAGGTGGAAATGATAAGTTGGTAAAGGTCTGGGATTGGACCAAGTGTCTTGATGCAGGACAGAGTATCAGCAGCAGTGATCTTCTACATTTGAATATCAACCTCAGCAAAAAAGTGAGTTATTGTTTCATCTTCACCACCACTTCTTGAGCTTCAGTTTCTTGCTTGTTTCCATGTCATTTTATGTGAAGCTTCTGATCATGAAGTTGATGCCTTTGCAGGTCAATTGGCTCTGTACTACTCCAGCTGATATGGAAAACCTTGTTGTTTGTGATACAACTAAGGTGGTAAAGGTCTATTCTGTTGCCTAGATTAAAGCTGCAGTATCATTGAATATAGAAGCTTATAGTCTCGTGTGGCAAACTCATTCCGGCTCTGGGAAAACTTGTCTACTCTTTGCATTTTTTGCCTTGAACGATGCAATCCTTGATCGCCATAATCAGCTTGATGCACTTTTAAGGGTTCGTTCACCCCTGTATCCCATGATCTGTAGATGTTTTCTACTTGTGTAAGTTGGGGAATCAGATGCTAGTCTGTAACTCTGTATCATGTCACTGCTGGGATCGCCTGTTATTTGTTTTGTTTTTGGATTTTTTGTGGGTATGTCTTAAACACAAAATTGTGAACTCCATATTGATATTGGTGTTCATGAAGAAAATGTTTATCCAAATATAATTGAAAAGGCAATTTTTCTCAAGAATTTAAAGCTGTAATTATGGATTCTATATTAACTTAAGAACCTTTTACCCATTGATTCTGCAGGTTCAAAGCCATTTATGTAATGAGTTAATTGAGAAATTTCCACAAAATTGGAAGTTACATTTTTCTATCCGATTTATAGTATCTTTCTTTTTTCTTTCTTCTTATATATTCCAAAGTAGAAACTAGAAAGAAAGAACGTTGCCGATTCTCTCATAAATGTGTGACAAATTCACCATGTTACACCTGTGATTTATGACCATCTTTCTTAATCATAATGGCCAATTCAAACGTTGAGGCCCATTTTATAAGGCAAGCTTGTAGGGCCTTTATTTGGAGAGTATAGATAAAAAAAGAGAGACAGCTGCACTCTTCATCTTGGGTTTTTGGTGGGAAAGATAACAGACGTTGGTTAGTTAAGGATGTACCTTGCCCAACCGAAACCTTCCTTAGACTTCCCGCAAAAATTTCAAATCTTTTTTCTTTTAGGAAAAACAAAAGAAAGAAAGAGGTAGCTTCCCATCTCTCTCTCTCTGCAGATACAATGACACCAACACCCCAACTTCCACACCCTTCCAACCACCATACTCCACCTCTTTCTCACCATTTCAAAAATGGGGTTTGGGTAATTCGTATAAAACCAGCAACAAGACCTAGATTGGGAAGTAGAGTGAGACCCCTTTCAGGCTTAAGGTATTGGGTTTCCAAGGAAATTAAGGAAACACCAATATTGTCAAAATGATGCAGTCTGGGATTCCTCTATGCAACACCTGTGGTGAACAAGTGGGGCTTGATGCCAATGGGGAGGTTTTTGTGGCTTGCCATGAATGTAATTTCCCTGTTTGCAAGACTTGTTTTGATTTGGATATCAAGGAGGGGCGTAAAGCTTGCTTGCGGTGCAGCACTCCCTATGATGATGGTATCTCTTTTACTTGGATTTCTCTGATCTATGTCTATATTTTCAGATGCTTTATTATACGTGTTTTAATTGGATTTTTCCATATTGATGCTTTTACTTTTTGAGGCTCACAATTTAGTTTACCACCATTAGTGCATATTGGCAACACCCTGCGACAATCATATGTATAATTGGAAATTATATACCTGTAAGTAATAGAAATAGTTTGGTTGATGACATCATAACAACTTTTTAGGATAGTGATTAAGTTCACATGCACTTGATGGGGGATCAAAATCAAACCTTTTCTTTCTCTTATGCTGATTTGGGAAAGTTAATCTTGTGCAAGGTATGCGAGGTTTGGTTCCCCTATGTGCTATTTGGATTTTGGAAATGATGCAAGGAGAGTATAAAACCAAACTAATGCATAAAGTTGGAGAAGTTCTGAAATTATGTCTATTTAACTTTTAAGTAGTTAAAATAGTTTTTGGAAGGAGATCCAAAAATGGGTTCATTTGGTCTTGATTGATATGTATATTATTTACAGCTTGTTACATACTAAAATTGGTAGCTTTCATGATTTCTAAGCTATATAATGGTTTTTAAAATTCTTCAGAGAACTCACTGGCAGATGATGAAACAAAGGTTTCTGGCACTCGATCTTCAATGGCAGCTCACCTGGATAATTCTCAGGTATGAAACAAAAGTTTCTGCAATTCTATAATTTATAGGTACTTTAAGTAGAATGAGATAATATTTTGTTTATACTCAGTGTGTTTAAGAACACTAGGTTTCTTACAGCTTGCTAATTTTTATATTTGTTTAAGCAGGAGATTGGAATTCATGCTAGGCACGTCAGCAATGTGTCTGCAGTGGATAGTGGTGAGTCATATTTCTTTTTCTTGCATGATTTAGTCCCCTTGTCTCATTTTTTTGATAATTTTCTTATTTTGTTATCTTGGAAGAATTAAATGATGAATATGGGAATCCAATTTGGAAGAATAGAGTAGAGAGTTGGAAGGATAAAAAGGATAAAAAGAGCAAGAAGAAAAAGGGTGCAACTAAGGAGGAAAAAGTGGCTCAAATTCCACCTGAGCAGCAGATGACAGAGAACCAGTAAGTACAATTAAAACTTGGGTGATTTATATAAGATGCTATACAAGAAAGAAGATAAAGCCCTTTAAAAAAAAAAGGGCATTGCAGTGCTAGTTTTCTGATGAAGGTTCTGTTTTTAGATTCTTTTCCAAAATTTCTCTATCTCATTCAAACAGTCATGTGTTCACGAAAGGAAACATTTATGTGTTTAGGCTTATATGAGATGGAATTTCTACATACACTGTTATTTCGGGTTGGGAAGATGTTCTATTTCCATTATAGTTATCCTGCCATTCCAAATGTTGGACACAAGAAAAGAGAGGAGCATTCATTCTATAGGCTTGTCTATGAGTTATATTGAGATATAAAAATCCCACATGGGGTAATCTAAGCTTACATCTCAAAATATAAATCATCTGCGTTTCCATCCATTACCTATAGGTCCTTTGTTTTGGGTTTGGATGCTAACTTTAGCAAGTTAGATCTATGATTTATCAGTTATATTCTATGCCTGGGGATAGAGAGACACAATCAGGTTTTACACAGGACATTCTGTTTCATATATTTTATATCAGAAGTGAAAATGGTTCATATACATGGTTAATGAAATGATTATATCAATGTTTTGGGAAGTTTCAGAGTCTAATTTTCAAAAAAAAGGAAATGAACCAATACGATGCATGTATGAATTTGGATGTGTACGAATCATATTCATATGTAGCATTTGATGCTTTTTCTTGTGTGTTATTTGACTTATGGCCTTCTTTGCAGTTCACCAGACGCTGCGGAACCACTTTCAACTATCATTCCACTTCCACCTAACAAAATCACACCATACAGAGTTGTAATAATTATGCGATTGATCATTCTTGCCCTTTTCTTCCATTATCGAGTGACAAATCCTGTTGACAGTGCTTATGGTCTCTGGCTCACTTCTATCATATGTGAGATCTGGTTCGCTTTTTCTTGGGTGTTGGATCAGTTTCCCAAGTGGTATCCAGTTAATAGGACTACATTCACTGACAGGTTATCTGCCAGGTATATATTTTAAACTGGATTTCTTATGCTTCAACCTCGTCCAACATTAGTCGGTTGATGTTTCAAACCTTCATATAATTACATGTCATGATTAGTGAGTAAACACAGGGTTTTCTGAGACTAACCGGAAGAATATGAAGGAAAGTACAAATGAATAGTATATGTTTTTAAAAACTGTTAATTTCTCAATTGTATTCTGAACATCATTTTAAATGTTCCTTTTGGATGTTATGTGAAATGGTTGTATAAAATTCCATGCCAGGTATGAAAGAGAGGGTGAACCCTCCGAGCTCGCTGCTGTGGATTTCTTCGTGAGTACAGTTGATCCATTGAAAGAACCACCTCTGATCACTGCAAATACTGTGCTTTCTATCCTTGCTGTAGACTACCCTGTCGATAAAGTTTCTTGCTATGTGTCTGACGATGGTGCTGCAATGCTTACTTTCGAATCTCTTGCCGAAACATCTGAATTTGCAAGAAAGTGGGTTCCATTCTGCAAGAAGTTTTCGATTGAACCACGTGCACCTGAGTTTTACTTCTCACAAAAGATTGACTACTTGAAGGACAAAGTGCAACCATCTTTTGTGAAGGAGCGCAGAGCAATGAAAGTAAGTACCTAAAGGTTGAAGCTGAATACTCATGATATTATGATAGCTGAAAGCTTTCATTAATTCAAAAACTTTTACAGAGAGATTACGAAGAGTTCAAAGTGCGAATGAATGCTTTAGTAGCAAAGGCTCAAAAAACACCAGAAGAAGGATGGACTATGCAAGATGGAACACCTTGGCCAGGAAATAACTCACGTGACCATCCTGGCATGATCCAGGTAGACAGCCTATGGTTTGTTGAGTTCAACTTCTGAAATTTTTTCATTTTGAAAATTTCATACTTCTCTAAGGGGTTCTATATTTGTCGGTGCTCGAAACAAAAGTCTAGACAAGGTTCACTTGAGCTATATTTAGATACCTGTAATACATAACTTAAACGCTCTGTTCATGTGGGCAAACCAAGATTTTGAAAAGCATTTTGCTTTTGCATCTGGAGTGATACTTTTTTTTAAGTGCCTTGAGGGATATTTTCTAGCCTTGGTGAATACTGTTTTTCCATCAACTATCAGTCCATGCTCCTTGTTGTGTCTCTTTATAAAGAGATTTTCAGCGCTTCATCATATTGTAAATAATTGATTTTGACATATAACTCCTCTTTTTCACCCTCCTCAGGTTTTCCTTGGACATAGCGGTGCCTATGATATTGAGGGAAATGAACTCCCTAGATTGGTTTATGTCTCTAGAGAGAAGAGACCCGGCTACCCACACCACAAGAAAGCTGGTGCTGAAAATGCTCTGGTATATATACATACTTTAAGAATGATAATACCCATGTGAGCACTATAAAGTTTCATTCAAACTTGAATGACTGGCTTGATACAGGTAAGGGTGTCTGCAGTTCTCACGAATGCTCCATACATCCTCAACCTTGACTGCGATCACTATGTTAACAACAGCCAGGCAATTCGTGAGGCAATGTGTTTCTTGATGGATCCGCAAGTTGGTCGAGAAGTATGCTTTGTGCAGTTTCCTCAGAGATTTGATGGCATTGATCGCAGTGACCGATATGCCAACCGTAATACAGTTTTCTTTGATGTGAGTTCAAAGCTATCATACATATCCACACATTTTAATAGTAACCTTAAATGTCCTTGTATAGGTGAACTGTTGCAAGGGAATGCAAGACTTGGAACATTCAAGCTGTTTTAAAAGTAAAAGAAAAATAAATATAAGAAAGAATTGAACATTGCCTTGTTAGTCAGAATTTTAGCATTAGACTCGTTGAGATTCACAGTGTGTTTGAAAAGAACTGTGAACATAGTTTTGAAAATCTCTAAATCTCTAATTTCAGGTTAACATGAAAGGACTGGATGGCATTCAAGGTCCAGTATATGTGGGGACAGGTTGTTGTTTCAATAGGCAAGCCCTTTATGGCTATGGCCCTCATTCTATTCCCAGCTTATCCAAGGCTTCATCATCGTCCTGTTCATGGTGCGGCTGCTGCTCTTGTTGCTGCCCCTCTAAGAAGCCGTCTAAAGATCTGTCAGAGGCTTACCGAGATACAAAACGTGAGGAGCTTGATGCTGCCATATTCAACCTCAGGGAGATTGATAGTAAGTCTAATCACTCAATGAAACTGGATATAGACAAATGGTTTGTTGAGCTTTCAGTATATAAAATATTTTGGGCTTTCTTATGCAGACTATGATGAGTATGAGAGGTCAATGCTGATTTCCCAGACAAGCTTTGAGAAAACTTTTGGCTTATCATCTGTATTTATAGAGTCTACACTAATGGAGAACGGAGGAGTGGCCGAATCTTCCAACCCATCAACATTGATCAAAGAGGCGATTCATGTCATTAGCTGTGGTTATGAAGAGAAGACCGCATGGGGAAAAGAGGTAGGATTTTATTCCACCTTACGTAAAACAAATGGATGGGACTCTTGCAGTTTTACCAAAACTAGTGTCAATATTATTCTGGAAGATATCATATCTTGTAAACTTGAACAATGTGTGGCCTTCTAATCAATTCTTGGCTGCCTTTTGCTATAATCCTCCTATGTTGAAGATGTACTGCATTTACCAAGCAGTGTGTTCTTTTACTCAAACGGTTTTATATTCTCTTTTTCTCAGATTGGTTGGATATACGGATCAATCACTGAGGATATCTTAACTGGTTTCAAGATGCATTGCCGTGGATGGAGGTCAATTTATTGCATGCCCTTGAGGCCTGCATTCAAAGGGTCAGCTCCCATTAACCTTTCCGATCGACTGCACCAAGTTCTCAGGTGGGCACTTGGATCTGTGGAAATTTTCCTCAGTAGACATTGTCCTCTCTGGTACGGGTTTGCAGGAGGCCGCCTCAAATGGCTTCAGCGACTGGCATATATTAACACTATCGTTTACCCCTTCACATCCCTCCCTCTTGTAGCTTACTGCACAATTCCTGCAATATGCCTTCTCACAGGAAAATTTATCATACCAACGGTAAGTTTTTTCTACCTTCATTGTCTCAGACTAACATGGAAAACGCAAGGATAGTGGTGTTACCAATTATCTTTTTATGCATGCGTATGATACATCAATACTTACTGTGGATCACTCTTGTAACTTGATTCAGCTTTCAAACCTGGCAAGTGCCTTGTTTCTTGGTCTCTTCATGTCCATCATTGTAACGAGTGTGCTCGAGTTGCGGTGGAGTGGTGTGAGCATCGAAGACATATGGCGTAACGAGCAGTTCTGGGTGATCGGAGGTGTCTCAGCCCATCTCTTTGCTGTCTTCCAAGGATTTCTAAAAATGCTGGCAGGAATTGATACCAACTTCACTGTCACAAGTAAACAGGCCGAAGACGCAGATTTTGGTGAGCTCTACATGATCAAATGGACAACACTTTTGATCCCCCCAACTACACTCCTCATTGTCAACATGGTTGGCATTGTTGCTGGATTTTCTGATGCACTGAACAAGGGATATGAAGCTTGGGGCCCACTTTTTGGCAAGGTTTTCTTTGCCTTCTGGGTGATTCTTCATCTCTATCCCTTCCTGAAAGGTCTCATGGGACGCCAAAACCGGACCCCAACCATTGTTGTCTTGTGGTCAGTGCTCTTGGCCTCTGTCTTCTCTCTCGTTTGGGTCAAGATCAATCCATTTGTCACCAAAGTTGATAGCTCAGCCCTTACTCAAAGCTGCATCTCCATAGACTGTTAAACAAACTTTTCCACGATTTTGGCTTCATTATATAGTTTCAAGCTCTGAGCATCAAAAGTTCGCTTCTTTCTGGAAGTGCCAATCATAAATTTTTTTGTTTTTAAGTTTAGAAACATTTGTAATGATTCTTTTTTTCTTTCTTCTGGGTTTTGGACAATCAGTGTGTAAAGAATTAAGCATTCCTGCACAGTATCAATGTAAAAACCAGTGTTCGACAAAACGGCCGCCTAGGCGGGTCTAGGCGGCGCCTAGGCGCTAGCCGGGTCTAGACGGGTCTGGGCTCCTGGCCGGGTCGGGTCCTTTTTTTATTGTTCCCTTTTTGATTGCGTAGGATAAGAAAGAGCTGGACGCCACGCAAATACAGACCATGGGCTTTCGGCCTTTGCCTTTAACGGAAAACTAATTTTCAAAAGAAATTTGTCAGACTTAAATAGCCCTTAACTTACTATTTAATTACATCATTAGCCTGCTGAAACTTGAAAGTTGAAATCGGGCGTTGAGTCGTTGACCCATTTTCCTTCTGGTATGGTTCATGTGTTTTCAAACAATGTACACGTGTGCTCTCACTTTACACGTTTCATCTCATAGCTCATAACAAAGCCCTTGGTTTTATCTATTATTTACGCACTCAACCTATTAGCCTTTGCATACAAGCTAGCATCCTTTTATTTTAATAATTAATGTTGCAGGAAGAAACGGAAAGAGAAGAGGTTTGGCAATTTTGGATTTAGGGAGGTTCATCCACTAAATTATGATCAGAGCAAATAATTTCATCCAAAACCACCTAGGCTTGATCAAACTTGCTACCCCCAACTTCGTGGCTTAAAAACTGTAAGTGTTAATATCATAGCTTATAATGTCAACAGTTAAGTGGAAGAGTGAATGATAAATCGATGCGGAACATAAAATAAATTATATATGTGCAATTTATAAGTATGAATATCGTTAAAACTTGGAGCATGAAGTGAGCTATAAATTCAAATACAAACTTCAAATATACATTTTATAGATGTGAAATGTATGTTTTATTATACACACTGCAAATTTAACTTAGAATCCTGTGATGAGGAAATGGGTTATGGAATTTTCCTTCCCTCCAAACAAAACGACAAAGAGGATGTATGGTAGAAATTAGACAGGTAAAAAAGTAGCAGCATGAGTACTACCAGCAACAGCTGGACAAAGAAAACAAAGTCCCATTCTGCAATTTTATGCAGAATTCAAGGGCATAGAAGTATTTTAACCAGACAGACACACCATCCTAAATCTGATCTCATGGTCTTCCCAAGCTCTCTCACTAGTCACTGTACACACACACACACACACACACTCTCAAATACCTCACATAAATTCATACAAACACTCTTCCCCACAACCCCAAGCTCTCTCTGTCTCTGTCTCTGTCTCTCTCTAATGGAACCACCATTGCTGCCCACTCTGCTTCTCCACCTCCTCCTCCTCTCCACCACCATCACCACCACCTTCTCAGCCTCTGCTCCTCCTCTCCGCCCCACCCTATCTCCTACCTCCTCCCCAGCCCCACCAAAGTCGACCACCCCCAAAGCCCCATCTCCTACCTCCTCCCCAACCCCACCAAAGTCGACCACCCCCAAAACCCCATCTCCTACCTCCTCCCCAACCCCACCAAAGTCGACCACCCCCAAAACCCCATCTCCTATCTCCTCCCCAACCCCACCAAACTCCACCACCCCCAAAACCCCATCTTCACCATCTTCCAGCTCTTTAGACCCAAAGCAACTCAGAGCCCTCCAATCTCTCAACATCCCAACCTCCAAAGACCCCTGCACCCAACCCTCCCTCCTCCCCCCCAACACCACTCTCTGCGACTCCTCCAAGCCTTTCCGCCACATCCTCTCCCTCCGCCTTGCCAACTGCTCCGACGACGTCGCTTGTCCTTCACTGCTCTCAAGTCCCTCTCCACCCTCCAGTCCCTCCAGTTCTTCAACTGCCCCATTGCCCCTATCCGCTTCCCGGCCGATCTCGTTGCCTCTCTCCACTCCTTCACCTGCATTAACAGCCTCCGCAGGCTCACTGGCGTCTGGCTCGCGCGCCTCCAAAACCTCACTGATCTCACTGTCTCCAATGTCCAAGTCAATGCCTCTGGACCCTTTGTCATTCTCGGCAACATGAAGAAGCTCAGGTCTGTGACCATCTCTCATGCCAATCTAACTGGTAGTCTTCCAAGACACTTGAATTTGAACCTTACCCACATCGATTTTTCGGGTAATAAGCTACAGGGGAAGATACCCTCTTCAATCACACTCCTTGAAAACCTTGAAAGCTTGAACCTTTCCTCTAATTCCCTCAATGGAGAAATACCCACTTCGTTTGGGGACCTGATTTCACTAAAGAACGTGTCTTTAGCTTCAAATTCGTTGTCTGGAGCCATACCAGAGTCAATGTCTGCAATTCCAGGGTTGGTTCATGTTGATCTGAGCTCCAATCAGCTGAATGGTACAATTCCAAAGTTCCTCTCTGATATGAAGAGCTTGAAGCACTTGAATCTTGCAAACAATGACTTCCATGGAGTTGTGCCTTTCAATGTGTCATTTATAAGCAAATTGGCAGTGTTCAAGATTAGCAGGAACAGCAATTTGTGCTATAACCACTCTGTTTTGTCATCAAAATTGAAGCTTGGGATTTCTCCTTGTGACAAGCATGGATTGCCCATGTCACCTCCTCCGGCCAAAGGCGATTCAACAGCAGATGACAGCAGTGATTCAGATTATGATGACAGTGATGGGGATGACTCTGATCAGAAGAAGGATCGTCATCATGGGCCAAGTAAGGTTGTTCTTGGTGTGGCCATTGGGCTTTCTTCCATAGTCTTCCTCATTATTTTCTTGGTTCTTCTCTCCAAATGGTGTGGTTGAAACTTGAAATTGAATTGTTTGTTGATTAAAGTTTTATTAGATTAGGCCAAATTGGTTATTGAAATTGAATTTTGATTAATTTATTATTATACTCAATGATGAGGAGGAAGAGTAGATGGGAAGGTGAAAAAATTGAAAACAAACCAAAAAAGAAAAAGGAGGGAGAGGAATCATTAATTTGGAGTGTTATTTTTATCATTGCTTTGATGGCTTGCTGGAGAAAAGAGAGGTGGGTTTCCATTATTTTGTGATAGATGTGCCCAGTGGCCACTTGGGTGTATTATTTCTTAGCTGCCATAGAGCCTAAAAGCGGCTTCATCTGTTTTCCAGATTATATGTATGTAATTTTTTTCTTCAGCCACAAGAATTTGTCTTCTTTATTTATTTATTTTTGATCAGGTAGCTTTCTCTGAGTTTAATTGCTTTCTTCTTAGTGTATATATTCATGAATTGATAACAATGTGGATTGGCTAAATATTTTTCTTGTATTAAAGTTTTGGTACAATTGGGTATATTCTTAGTTGATAAGTTAAGAGGTCATGTTTTTTATGCTCTTTTGGTATATACACATGAGACATGTAAAATTGCAATTATTTTAGGTTCCTTTTGAGCACACCCAGAAAAAGAAATTTATTTACAGCTGTCTCTACTTGAATAGAGAAAAGGACAGTGGTAGGCTGATGATGATTGATTTATAAAGTGGAATTATGAAGAATGATGGAATGGTAGATATATGAAAATTTATGCTCTTTTTCTTTCTACAAACAAATTTAATACAGAATCACTTCCCAACAACACAATCTTGCTGTATTTTCTCATAATTTCATACAAACGAGTGATAATTGTATAGAGGCTAAAATCGTATTTTAGGCTCTTTACATTTGTTTCGTTTTTCAACCCCGAAAAAAAAAACAGTAATTCTATTTGAACACACTAAATCGACGACATGCAATTTAAGCAGCCTAATTAAAGTTAATTAGGGTCGTCGCCGTGTACCAGCACGAGCAGCCATGTTGGTGGCACAAAGATATAGAATTTGAGGGGAAAAATAATGGCTGTCGATGAGGAGAGATGGGGGGAGGGAGGAAGAAAAGCTTGTTTTGCTCCTCTAGGATTTCCGATGGAAACCTATGTCACCGGTGGCTATCAATGGAGAGAACAAATAGGGCAAAAGCTCATAAGGTGAAAGGCTAAAAATAATTATTTTGTATATAATAAATTAGCATTAACAAAATTATGATTTTCTTTCATTAACCAAAAGAAAAAAGATAATAGGTATGGTAATTGGGTGCTATTTCAGCGCCATGGACATGTACCAATTTATCTTTCTATTCTTTCACAAACCAGGTTAAAGCTTTCCTATTTTCAATTTCCAGACCCAAGAAAATAAATATAAAAAAATCAATTTCCAAATTCTAAACTAAAGCAAAAAGGTATCAAATAAATCGTTCAGGCAATTTATTGATTTTTATTTCATAACTAGAATATAATTAATTCCCATAACAATAATCTCTAGAAACCAAAAAAGAGACCCTAAACAAAGAACGAGAAAGAAGAAGGAAAAAAAAATACATAAAAGAGACCCTAAACAAACAAAACTTTTTTTCTTTCCGGCCTGAACATAAAATCATTACATGAAATCTACCGAAGGGTTGCCATCGATTATTTCTTTTACGAGCTCTGGTGGCATATCATTCTTGAGCTTAAACACTTCGCGAATCTCATCACTTTTCTTTCCCTTGATCATATCTGCAACCTTTTGAGTCACTTGAGCCACCAATTCCTTGTTGTATAGATAGTCTGCGGCGATCAAGATATGGTACAAAACTGCTTGATCAACATTTAGAAACTCAGCGTCCCACTCTTCGAGTTCCTCTTTAGTCTCTTTACCCTTTGCATGCGTTTTGCACCACTCCATCACCTTGCCTAGGATTTCGGCAGTCACGTTTGGTACTGAAATCTCGTCGCCCTCACAGCCTTCCTCCACCAAGTTCTTGATGGTTTCACAAAGTACCGCCGCAGCCTCATTTACTTCAATTATTTCGTCATTCGAACACCGCAATCTGAAAACCCTACTCTTTGACGAGGACATGATGATGTTTGAAGAAACTCTGAACCGCTGTGAATTAATTGAGAAGAGAGTGGAAGATGGTGATATATATATATATATATATATATATCTTAGAAGACTTCTCCTAATTCTTGCAGGACAAGTAATATTGTATTTCCAACTATAACAAGAATTTCCACTTTTGTTCTCCTCCTCAGATAAGGAAGTCTCTCTCTTTTTCTTTTCTTTTTTGCATGAATTAAAAGTGCAAATTCTCTGGGGATAATTTGTAGAAAGAAGGTACGGTGTATTGGAAGGCCTTCGATAGGCACTGGGATATCAAGAGCGTATCCTTTCTTTTTCAATACAGAGATTCACTTTTCAAAGAGCTTATCCCTTTCCTTCTCTCTATCTGTGAATTTACAAGACAAAATTCTCATGGTTTCAACTTACAATACAGAGCCTGGCAAACGCGGAACTAGGTAGAGGGCTACCATGGGCTCTAGCCCAGGTAGCCTTTTTATAAAATTAAAATATATTACATATATTTTAATGTTATTCATCCCATAAAAACTTAGTAGCCCACTCAAATGTAGTTTTGTAACCCATTATCTACTCAATTTTTGTAGGTATATAATCATATTATATTTAATTTGTTTGCTCAATTAATAAAATAATCTCTTAATAAGCACTCATGGTTTTAACTCTCAACCTTTTACTATTTTATCCCAATCTGTACTTTAATATATTTCTAGAAAAACTATAGAAAGTAAGTACCCAAACAAAAATTGGTCCTTAGATTTTAAGCTAAACAACTTTAGTTAGCCCACCCATTGAAAAATTCCTGGTTCCGCCCTTGCCTGGTTAGCAATTTTGCATAATACTCGTATTATACATGTACATACATATTTTTCAAAAATACTTTTGTTTTCCATACACGTCTCAAAGACTTTACAAAATACATGTTTTTTTAAAATCAAACAGACAATACACGTATGTCCATATTCTTCATGTTTAATACACGTACTTTTTACAAAATTTTCAATAATATGGACAAAAATAATTTTTTTTATTAAAACATTATCTAATTTCATTGTGTTTTAAAAACAAATTGCCGAATAATACACGTACGTATTTTACTAATTATGATATAGACAAATCAAATCCTGCATCTCTACTGCAATTAACGGCTGTAAAATAAGAGGCCACTTCAAGGAAACACCACAGCATGGACAAACTGATATCGACGCTTAGTTAGCCCTTTGTAAATGAGACTGATCATAGCCTTTCAATTTGAGTCACATCAAAACTGCGAAGCAAGCATCTCTTCAAATTGGCCCATATTAAGATACTAACTCAAATGCCTATCTAGAGTGTTCTATGTTGGTCGATCGAAAAACAATTATATACAACAATAGCTTGATCATGTGCGTGACAATCAACCAAGTTTGGAGGAGGTACTTTGCAAGTGTATCGAAATTGATGAGCCTACTTGCACTTCAAAGTCCAACTTCAGTTTACCAGAAACCCCTGCAAGAACAACTCCCATCTTTCATATGGTGAAAGCGGTTAGAATCTCTTAGAACAATCTCCCTCCTAGATGTCTTAGAGATGAACTTGGCCATCTCATGACAGTCACTGCATACTCGTAGATTCTTGGTCACCCGTATGGTTTTCCCAGGTGGCAAGTTCAGTATCCCAAATGCTATGGCTAACTTCTCACTATGCCCACAGAGAGCCACTTCTTTCTCCATCTCATCTGCATTTATCAAAGCATACTGCATTTTAGGAGAATAGCCTTCTTCCTTCATCTTCAATCTTAAACGCTTCAATAGAGACTCTATCTTTGTGGCTTGTGGGTGTGAACTATTTCCAGCGACAAAGATTTGAACTTTTCCCTTGATCTCTATCCAACTACAGCCTGGATTCTTTTTTAAGCCTTGCCGACCAATCCTCTCCCTCAACTTTTTCACTTCTTCCCACTTTTCTGCCTCTGCATAAATATTTGCTAGAAGTACATAGTACCCTGTGTTTTCTGGCTCTAGTTCAAAAACACGTTCTGCGACTTTCTCCGCTAGTTTTACATCGTGGTGGATCCTACAACCGCGGAGCAAGGAACCCCAAATAGTTGCATCTGGCTCAATGGGCATCTTGTTAATAAACTTATATGCCTTGGTTAGATTCCCAGTGCGGGCAAGAAGATCCACCATACAAGCATAGTGCTCTAACTTTGGAACAATGCTGTAATCATTTCTCATACTATCAAAGAATCTCCATGCTTCATCAAGTAACCCAGAATGACTGCAAGCATAAAGTATAGAAATGAAGGAAACACTGTCAGGTTTTATTCCTGATTTTCTCATCTCATTAAAGGCGGTAATAGCTTCCCTTCCAAATCCATGCATGCCATATCCAGCAACTATCACAGTCCAAGAAATCAGATCCTTTATGGGAATAATGTCAAAAAGTAATCGTGCAAGAACTAGTACCCCACACTTGACATACATGTCAACAAGTGCATTGGCAACATACCGATCCGAAAAGTATCCATTTCTCAATATATGGCCATGGATCTCTTGACCTCTGTTTAGAGCTGCTAGGCTGGCACAAGCCGGAAGGACACTCGCAATTGTCATGCCGTCAGGTTTTGATTTCTGTTGCATCTCAGAAAAGAGTTTAAGAGCTTCATTGGGAAGACAGTTTTTCGAGTAACCTCCTATCATGGTATTCCACGAGACAATGTCCTTCACAGGCATATTAGAAAAAACCGAGTGAGCATCTTCCATGCTTCCGCATTTCGCATACATATCCATGAGAGTATTGCAGACAAATAAACTGGAGTCCATGACATGTTCCCTAATGTACTTATGTATATCCCTGCCTTTTTTCAATGAGCCATTACAAGCACACGCATGAAGTATGCTTGTGATTGTATAAACATCTGGGCTAACACCATTCCTTTCCATTTCTGAGAATAATTCGATCGCCTCATCTGAAAGCCCTTCTCGGACATACCCTGCTATCATTGAAGTCCATGACACAACACTTCTTTGACCCATCTTCCCAAAGACTTGAGTTGCACCACTCAGATCGCCACATTTTGAATACATGTCTAGAACATTATTGTAGAACATGATATCCATGTCCAAACAAGTTTTTATTGCATAAGAATGAAGCGCCCTACCCAATGAAAGATTTCCACCATCTGAACAAGCCATTAGAACATTGATAACAGTAGCCAAATCCACATCTACCCCAAAAGAAAGCATCTGTCTGAAAATCTGAACCCCCTTCTCCGCAAGACCATTGGACACATATGCACTTATCATTGAATTCCACGATATAACATCTCGATCACTCAATTCATCAAACACCTTACGTGCACTTTCAATTCTTCTATTCTTAAAATAGAAGGCCATTAGCGAATTACCGACTGTGTTATCAGAACCAAATCCCAATTTGTACAGATACCCATGAACCCATTCACCTTCTCGTACATATCCTAGGGAAGAAAAACACTTTAAAATACAAGAAAATGTATAAGAATTAGCTTGGATACCCAGCTCTTGCATCTTCCTAAATAAATGTATACCTTCCCTGAAATTACGAACCTTTGCATACTCATTGATCATAAGGTTCCAAAGAAAAACCTTTCCATTTGATAATTTATCAAAAACTCGCCTAGCTTCTCTTAAATCCCCACACTTTACAAACATAAAAACAAGTTTTGCACCCAAAGGTCCATCAACTTCTGCGCCATTGCTACAAATAACTGAATGAACCCTTTTACCATCTTGCAGCGACTTAAGTCCAGCACAGAGCTCCAAGACGGAGCAGTAAACCTCCAAATCAAGCTCGGATTTTTTAGACCCGTATACCAATTCCAAGGCGTTTTTTAGATTACCCATTTCACAGTATTTGCTAATCTTGGCATTCTTGTCTATAACTTCACTGTTAGTGGATATGGCGACCGAGGCTGAAACACGAAATTTGGCACAAGAATGATCCAAATTCGAAGAGAACAGAGAGGTTCTTGAAGAGGGTTTGGAGAAGAAGCAGCCAATTGAGGGTCTAGAAGACTTTGTTTCATTGTCATTGTGCGGCAGAGGAGAGACCGACAACAAGTTCGGTGAGGTTGTGGCTAGCATCAACATAGTCCCTGTAAACCAAAACAAAGCCGCGCGAAATTTCAATTAGCCTGAACCTAGAAGATAACTAGCCAGAGTCTTTATTTATACATATAAATTTTATTTTTAAACACCAAAAAGGAAAAATGGCGCACGTGATTTACACACACCACCAGAAGTTGTGGACCAGAAAATTTTGTAATAAAATAAGAGTTACTGAAGGGAAGGAACTGTCAGAATCTAATCCATTTGTATACTCAGAATCTTGGTTTCTCATTTTCCACTTTCAACTTCAAGAACCCAAATTGGCCTTGAATTTAACATATGGGTGCAGTTGTTCATGAATATCATTCTGTGCTTCGGTTTCCCACTTTCTTCTCTTTCAGCAAGCAGCCCAAGCTGGGAAAATCCATTTTCACTCTGAAAGGTATTTAAAGTTTTCACTTTTCAGGAATTCCACTTTGAATTCTGCAATGGGTTCTTCTTGGAATTGTGTTTGGTATCTGTTAAAATGAAAGATCTCAGCTTGGTTCAAGTATTTTTCTTGTCTGAGATTGTTGGACTTTTTACTATTTTGAAGTCGAACATGGTGAAAATTATTTCACTTATTATGTTGTTTTTTGTTGAATTGAATTATCATTCCTCTTTTGATTAGCTTGAACTGAAGTTCGGATTTGATATCAACAAATGATTTGTTGTTTGCTGGCTATAGATAATAGACTGAGGGATCATTTCTTGATGCAGCTTGTTAAATTTGGCTGAGATTGCAGATGTGCCTTCACCCTTTGAGCGAAAGGGCCTTCACTTAACTGTGTCCTGCATTGGATCTGAAGGAAATGGAGGAGACCAACCTCCTCGGAGACGTTCTGCTTCTGGAAGAACGAATAAGAACGATGGAACTAAGAAACGTGGACCAGCTGGTAAAAAATCTAAGGCATCTGACCAGGAAGAGATCATTTCTCTATTCAGACGGATACAGACTTCGATCTCGAACAAAGAGTCTGTAAATGCTAAGAAGAAAAATTCCAATGTCTCTGAAGATAGTCCCTCTTCTGAGTCAATTCTTCAGGCTCTTTATGGATCGAGGAAGCAAAAAGGTAATGCAGATGAATGTCATGTTTGATGCAATCACTTGTCATGGCCATGCACAACACAGCTACCACTTCTGCACCTAAACATGCACATGTTCAAGTCTTATTTCTAGTTATGATGATTGAATTTCTCTGCTTTCACAATATTATTTCTTAGTCAAATACTAATTACTGCAGGCAAAGCTTTAGACAAAGCAGGGCAAGAGGTCTGGACAAGGAGGAAAGATACGCAAGAGCAGCAAATACAGGAGAATCCCTCAGTTGCAGAGTTCAAGTTAACGCGCCCACCGTCTAAATTTGTGAAAAGATCTCCGATTCCATCTCAATCAATCCCAAGAGGACAAGTTCTTGAGCTGAATAACGGAGCATCATCTTCTGCGGCTGGAAGAATAGAAGAAATGAAACTCCCTGAGTTGAAAGAACTGGCAAAGACCAGAGGAATTAAAGGTTACTCGAAACTTAAAAAGAGCGAGCTCGTTCAACTGCTGAAGTCCTAAAGCAATGTAAAACCTTGCCCATATATTGTACCTGAGCATTATTTGTGACAGATTGAATTTCACCTTACGTTCTTCAAAATGTTGTGCAGTCCTAGCTACCCACATTTTATAGGGTGGCCACCAAAGTATGGTTGTTTTTAAACTCAAAATTCAATGCCCTCTGGTTCCTAATTGATTTTAGGGTTCTGATACTGTTTTGTGTTGAGGTTGCTTGTTCCCTTATTTGCTATGCTTCTCTTCCCATGCTATAGCCAAGGGATAGACCAATGGAAAATCAAGCCTGTCAAACAGCTTTCAATACTGGCATGAACATCTGGGCAGCCATTTGATATTGGCAACAAATAATATGACAGATGAGTAACAAAATGGTCACAAAGCAAACTAAAATTTGCTGACAGTAATAACGGCTACTCCATATAAGCAACAAGAGTCGAAACAAGAGGACATCATCAAGTTTTCAAGAACAAAATTACTGGCACATATCTTTGATGGAGATACTAACTCCTGATACATAGAAATTTGTAGAAAATTGCAGCTTGCCAAAACTAAAACAAAATATCCAAGACTAGTAGATCTGTCTAGTTAACAATATTTTGGGACTTGTTAAGAATGACCCCTTCATATTTGACCTGGAACCACTTCATTGCATCCTCCTTGGTAACCCTGTGCTGAATTCCAACACGCGACTTGCATCTGCGACGACGACCAACACGGTATCCTGGGCGCTCTAAAACAACAAAAAAGTCCATGCCATAGATACCAGTTGAAGGGTCATACCTGAAGGAAGAACAACAAAACTGGTTAGTGATACCCAAACATGCATGCCACTTACTAGTCTGCCTTTCAAGTTAAGGCAACCTCAACTACCTGACATTTTAAATAGTAACAGCCCAGGAACATTATAGGGTCAGCTATTTCAAAATTATGCCTCCTATGTTACAACATAATATTCAACAGATATTTGAAACAAACTCATAAAAGGAAAAAAAGAGTCCTAGATATATTGTTTGCACCTCAAAGTCAGCATATTCAACTTCTTTCGAAAATGGAAAGAAATAAAACCCCTTAGCAAATACACATGAAATTTTCACAAGTGAACATGGTGCAAAACTGCAATGTTATGCTCTTATATTGACCCCTTGCCCTATGCCCTACCTCTATTGTTACCCTACGCTGCACACTCTTTCAACCTATGCCAATCCTAAAGGTAAATTGTAAGGAGTCAGCCTAATTCCCACCCTATAAGTAGTTGGAACTTGCAAACAATTTGAGCTAAATCCAAGAAACTTGATGAATAAATCTAATTCCCATATAAAATTATTGAACTTTTCCCAATCTCATTAGAAATTAAATCTAAAGCCTAAACCACAAAACCTATCAACATACTACATGATTCCACAAACTCAATATAGAAATGATTCCACAAACTCAATATAGAAATGATTCCACAAAGACAATTATCATGAGGTTATATGCCAAAATCAAGAATAAAGGAGCACTAACTTGATCCCAAGATCGATATGTTCCTGAATACCGAAGCCGAAGCAGCCGGTGTCACTGAAGTTCCTGCGCAAGAGCTCGTATTCCTTGACCTTCAGTCCACTCTCCAGAAGTTGCATTGCCTTGTCGCCTCTCACAGTCACGTAGCAGGCAATCTTCTCATTACGCCTGATACCGAAGGATCGCACCGTGTACCGAGCTGCAGGCAAACAAAACTCAAAAAATTAATAAATCCATAAATAACCAAAAATGAAAAAATGAAAAAATGAAAAAGCAGAGAGAATCTAATGGAAGCTCGCCTTTGGAGAAGACAGGGGTTTGGCCACTGAGTTGTTCCAAGACCTAGGGGAAAGGGGCAACATTGGAAATAAAAAGATCAGTATATGATTTTGATATCATTTTTATTTTGGGTAGTTTTGTTGTGAGGTAAAGGAGGAACCTTGGCGGCTCTGGTGAGTCGATCACCACTTTCTCCGACAGAGATATTGAGGACGAGCTTCTGGACTTTGATTTCCCTCATGGGATTCGCCAGCTTCTTCTCCGACGCCTGAATTTGACACACAAAAACAACTTCATCAGAACAACCACAACAATAACAACAGCACAGAAATTCCAATAAACATGAAGAGAGAGAAAGAGGAAAGAGAGGAGACCATTGTGGTATGAGAGTGTGTAGAGAAGGCGGAGCAGCAGAAACTCGGAGAAGGCAATACAAATATAGGGGGAGAGACGATGTGAGCGAAGAGCGAGCTAGGGTTTTTATTTCTGATTTGGGCTGCCTCAGAACCCAGATTTGAACCCGAGCCTTTTGGGTCGGATGTAGCCCAATTACACTTGTGGGCTTCCAGGAGCTCGAACCCTTAGATGAGCTTGTGGGATTCTTGGTCCTTATTTGAGGGATACCCCTTATAGGTCCCACTCTGGATTGTATTTCATTAATTCAAACCTTTTATTTTGTAGATACTCATTCAAAGATCATCTCTACAAAAAATCACTTGAATCCGATATCATTTGACCACTCAATTGAGTTATTGAAATTTTAGTATTTTCTTGAAGCACCATGTTCATTTATTTTGTAAGACACAATTGGATGTCGAAACGGTTTCCGATTTGTCCAATTTTTTATAGGGATGATCTATGAATGAAGACCTAAAAGATAGATAGTTTGGATCATTGGGAAAAAAATTGTAGGGTACCCTAAAGGGCATCCCTCAATAGAAAAGGATTGTGTATATATAAATTCATACCTCCTTAACGAACAAGTATCTGATGTAGCAAAATTAATTTGGAATTAGATAATTCAGGGTTCGAATACCGACAGCGGAATAATTTTTTTATTTTATATTTCTTTAAGTAAAATTATTTGCAAGTGAGATTATATATATGTATTTTCTTTTCTTTTATATGTTTACGTAAAATTATTTGCAGGTTATACTTCTCCGTTAAGGAGGTATTTTTTTTTTCAAATCATATAGCCGGGCAGCTATACTCGGGGGGGTTTTTTATTTTTTTAAAGTATCGCCACACAGCTATACTTGTTTTGACACGTGGGCACCTAATCGCAAGGCGGTCCCTTTTTCTCCTATAAATTGTATAGCCGTGCGGTATACTCTCCTGGCACAATGGCCGTGCGGCTATACCCGTGTAATTTTTTATACAAAATATTAGTGTAGCTGAGCGGCCATACTCGTTTTCAGCTATACCTTTTAAATATAGTATATTTACATAATATAGCTGCGCGGCGGTACTCTCCTTGCGCTTTTTTCAAAATCGCATAGCCGGTCGGCTATACCAGTTTTCACACGTGGGCGCTAGGCGGTTCCCCTTTTTTATTTATAAATAGTATAGCCGCACGGCTATACCCGGGTAATTTTTGTTTTTCCAAGATAGGAGTGTACTTTTTGTATAAAAGAAAAATAAAAGGGATAGCCATGCGGCTATACCTTTTAAATATAATATACTTTCATTTCTCTTAAATGCATTTGAATCCGCTGTAGCACAATTAAAATTAATTTGGAATTAGACACTTCCGGTTTTTTTCATTTTTTTTCATTTCAAGCTTACCAAGAAAGAAAAAAAAGGTGTAACAATTATTTCGAACTAGTTAGTTCCTGGTTCAACTCAACTCCCAGCAGCAGAATAAGTTTTTCCTTTATTCATTTACGGCAGGTTAGAATTGAAACAATTCTTGACATGGATCGGTCTTGGTCATGATCCCATTCAAAATAGCATTATGGCTTTTTGATTGGTCAAATCCATCATTCTTGAGTTGTTTTAAGGCAGAGAATGTCAGTTCATGCAAATCAAATAACACGTTGAAGAGAATAAGGAAATCCACTCTTGTGCAGCAAAGACTTGTAAAATGCAGGCAAGCAGGTTTCTTGAACCCATCTATGGCTTTGAGGGGGTGATATCACTGTTGTTTTGTCATACATTTGTTTGGTTGGTTGCTGCCTCCCAAGTACCAACCATGGATGCGTCCTTCCCCACTCTCTCCCTTCCATTAGTTTCTGTTTGTGGGTTTCTTACCCTCTACGGTCATTTTTGCTCTGTTTTTACGTTGGATTGGAGTTGCTGACTTTTGTGCAAATGGTTTCGTGGCGTGGAGGCAAAGGTACTAAAAAAGAAACAATAACGGGTTGCTTTCGCGTCCAGTGTACACCTTGGTCTTCCAAAGTAACATACAGAAAAGTCATGCTGTATGCATCATCATAAGTCTCTGTGAACCAACATTTGAACTAGTATGCAGAAATTACGGACGCTATGTATATTCAATTTTTGCTATTACAAATTTAGATCAAGAGCAGTATAAAATGAAGTTTGTTTTATCATATTCAAAATAAATCTATCAAACACTAAAATATTAGCAAAATACATAAAACCAATGATGGGTTTTCACTTGTATAATGGAGTCTACAACAAAGATGGCGTATGGCAAAAGGTAGCTCCAAGGAATAAGAACAACTTTTTCGCTTTCTAATTTCATGTCCTAGGCTCTCTTTTTTCTTCTTTTTTCCAGCAACAAAAGTTTATGCCAAAACCCGCCAGAAAGAAAAAGAACATAAGAATATCATCCGTCACACTGAAAGAAAACACCAAATAACTGCACTCTGCTCCTAAGTTGTCATGATGGCAACTCTAATCATTTGAAACCTCAAATCTTCAGGCTTATATGCAGAAACCGACAGAGTATGTTTACATGTGAATGGAAGACCAGAAAATCCCATTAAAGGCAACATGTCGTAAGATTCCACATGACGCGCACTACGGATGCAGCCTTGAGACATAATGCAACACGACCTCAATACTTTATCCACATCCCTGACTAGAACATATTTACACGAAAAAACCATGGAAGTACAAAGGCTATTACCAGACATGCCATTAAAAAGTTGCAAAATGGCTGTCCCCGCCAACATCCTCCATTCCTCTCTGATGAGTTATTTTCAATACCAGAAAGCGTTTCTTCATTCCACTCCTCCATAAATCTGCTATCCCCATGACCAGTGACATTGTTCGCTGTCTCACCACAGATTTCGCACGTCCTGCATGAATAAAAATAAGAAAGGAATCAACTTATATTGTGATCTTTGATGCTAGGTTCTTGTGCAGAGAATTTCACTAGCTCTACTGTTTATTTAGACTTTGAAAATACTTCCTGACTAAAAAAAAATACTCCACGGATAATTGTAACAGAAAACAATTTTAAAATCAAAAGTAACCACAGCAAAGCTTAGTTATTGGAAATGAAAAAAGTTTCACTTTCTCTTCTGCTACCTTGCGGCTATTTCATATCAGATTCACTTTAACTTTCCCAGGGTTTCAATGCACAAAAAGGAGCAAATGACAAAAGAAAAACTTGAATACCATTTATAAAATAGAACAAGATCTTGTTACTTGTCACTTGTGTCATTTACTCTGTAACACTACTATCATTTCAGAGTCGTAACACTTCCATGCAGGCAATCCTGACATGAGATCTGTGTTAACTTAAAAAACCAAGTTTGAAAACAAAAGCAGACCAAAAAGAAGAGCTGTAGTGCCATTTATAAACATTCATGAGAATTTCGTCTGCATTACTAATACAGAGATTAATAATTTTATTCACATTCTGTAATGCCAAGAGTCTTGGTTCAAGTGGTATAAGGCCGGGGTATGTTCATATAGTTAGGTTTACATCTTATGAACCAAAGTGCAGAAAACATTTTCTGCCGTAACAATACAGTACAACTCTTAACTTTGATCTTTGAATATGGTGAAGCATGGAACAAAATTTAAGGGGTCATACTTAACACTTCTTGGAGATTCAGTTTCATTCCACATTTCAGAAAAGAAAAGACCATCGTGAAAGCAAACATTACAAACGCAGAAATATCAAGCAAAAATGCAACAAAAAAAGGTACAATTATTGCCCAATACAAAATATAATCAAACATGCACACATGTAAGAATATGCACACACCACTTTTTCACACCCACCAAGCTTAAAGCATATTGTTGAACATCTATTATTACCACCAAAAACAAAATATTGACAGTGGGAAGCATTGAGAGAAAGAAAACAGGGTGGAAAGATGGAAAAATTTACCTGTTTCCTTTTAGCTTAAACCATGCTTCGGCACAATGACCATGTGCAACACCTAGCTCATCTCTACACTCACAACCAAGATGAATTAATTCCGTAGGGGTAGAACTATTAGCAGTTTCAATTTTTCTGTCCGGTGATTGTTCAGAACTTAAATGGCAAATCCTACAAACCCTTTCCCCATCCCATTTATCACCAAAGCCTTTACCACTCCCACACCTCACATCAATCACATGTGAGTCTTTCTCTGCTTGAGGCACCATCTTCTTTGATTCTTCCACCAATACCTTACTCGACCCCAATTCGTCAACCTTCGTAATCAATCTTCCATTATCTCCAGTAACACGGGCAGCCTCATCCGAATTAATGACCACCAGAGTCTCAGAAACATTCCCATCAGCCAAATTGTTTGAATTCTTATTATTTCCTTGCTCAACTTCACTAGGAACCACACCACTACCAGGCTGGTCGCATGCCTCCTTATCATTCAGTTTCTCAAGTCCTTCCACCACTGCTTTTTTGGACCCCAATTCCTTTCCCAATGCTTCCAAATCTTCATTTTTTCCAATAACACAAGCACCCTCTTCTGATTCAATCACAATGACAGTTTCAACAACCGACCAAACAACAGAATTTCTTGATTTCTCAGTCTTCTTTTGATCAACTGCACCCAAAACCTCACTGCTACCTTGCAGATCATGCGCCCCCGAATCCATTGCCAAACAAAAAGGTTTCCAACCTCCAAAGATTCCAACTTTCACAAACACCCAGCAATAATATACACCATACACCCAATTCTAAAATTGCACGACAGACCAACTCTAACAGTTGACGCACAAACCCAATTGGAGAACCAACGTTCTTATCTTTCTAAAGCATACGCAATGTGACGAAACTGAAAGTGACTAAACGAACGAATGAACCACTCCAAGAGTGTCTATATGGTAATCTCCAATCATCAAACAATCGATAAATAAATAAAAGCTAATAAGAAAAGAAACTCAACAGCTAAAAACCAAACCTTTTCTTCCGCACAGACCAGTTCAATTCCAGGAAAGGAGCTGCAAAATTGGAGCTTTAATCCTGAGATACTAAAACATAAGGAATTTCAGATCTGGGTTTTATCCAATATCAACTACACCAACTGTGTGATTTAATTTTCTAGGAATTTGGTTGTTAATCTTAACCTTATTAAATAATGTATACACAGGGAAGAGTATGAGGTTGGTGAAGAATGGAGCCAAAAAAATTGTTAAAAGAATATAGAAAGGTCGAGGGAACAAATAATAAGAGGTTGAAGAGTATTAAACTATCAAATGGGGCAGTGTGTGTGCTGTGAAGAAGAAGATAAGGGCTTGAAGTGGATTGGATGAATCGCTATCTGCTATTATTATCTGTGCGCAAGTGCAGAGATTTTTTCCTTTTTTTATGTAAGCTGCAGATGAAGGGAATTAAAGCTTTTTGATTTGCCAGTTGGGGTTACATTTATTTATTTATTTGGAAAGAATTCCATTTGGCAGAGATTGTGGCCTTTTGGCTTACGTTTTGAATGGGTAAACTGCTTGGTTTGTGAGTGACATTTTGTGTGTTGGAGTGTTTGTGCCGCGACTTGAGGAGTCAGAGGAGGAGTTTACAAGGTCACAATATGTTAGGTTCGCTGTCTGTCTCTTCCTATTGGCCAAGGAGAACATCTTATTTTTTATATTGGTTTGTAGCTAGTTGATTTTGACCCAAGTAAACGCTTGTAAGTAACCTATCAGATGCAGACTGGTGAGGATTTATGCAGACTCATAATTTGTTCACAGTTGATTGGCCAATTGGGTAAGGTGACTACTTCAACGGAGAACCACTTACCTCTTCTAATTTGTATATATCTGGGGGTCTTTGAGGTCAAAACTTTAGATATTTTAATTTAAGCTGGAGTGATATGGGGGAGTTGATCTGTAGGAGAGAGGGCTTTTCTTGGTGCAAGTGAGGTATACCCAAAAACAACATGGTTTTAGGCTTCCATGTTAATAAACAGAGGATCCTACTTTTATGCCATGACTCACTTTTTTACTTTATCAATATGGAATTTGAATAAAGATTTTGATTGGGTTAGATCCTCAATTTAATGTATATTTGCATTTTATCCATCAGATCCTTGAAACAATTCTATTTTCGGAGGGAGATGCAGAAGATGTGGACAAATGAATGGAAGAGTTTGTGGTCAAAATGCCATTTGTCCTTCAGACACAATGACAGAATTAAGTTTCTCAAGAAGAATATCTTATTAAGATAATAGAATGAAAGACCCCTTCAATAATTGCATAAATTACTCAGTCAAATCTGTCTGCACCACAAAAAATGCTATAACCTCAACAATTCAAATCCAGGAAATTCCTTCAATGCACTGTACATGTTGACCTAAGGCTATGGAAATTCTGCAGATGAAATCGAAACCTGTGTAAATCCAACACGTATATACCGAGGACGTTGAGAAAAGGCTGGTCCTACAGGCACTCACCCACCAAATAAGGTTGTACATTTGGCAGCCTAATTAAGAACAAAGACTAAGAACTTGAGAATGAAACCAAGACTGGCAATTTGGCATTAGCATGAGCCGTGCCAACCAATCTTTTCTGGTACAAGTTACAAAAGGGAATAGATTCTTGTCCCAAAGGATCTCAATCATTGGTAAAGTGGATGTTCAATCTCATTTCAATGTGCTGTCTAGTGTCTATTGTGCCATCATTCTAGTCACTTGTTTTGATTAGGAAACAACTCTATAATTAGTACCTTAGTAACTCTCAACAAAATGCCAAATTCATTTACAGTTAATACTTTGATGGTGCAATTTGATATTTTCCTGTCACCGAGGTCCCGAAAGCTCCATAGCTTCAATGATGAAAGAAGACTCTTGATGCACATCACTGCAATTCCTGGAGAAATCACAAGCCCTGGCGTCAAAAATGTTGTTTCCTCCTTGTGATGCCTCTGTATGTCCTGATTGCCCAACTAAGCCTTCCAAAATCTTCAAGACCTCTGACATCTTTGGCCGGAGGATGGGACTTGACTGAGTACATTGTAGAGCCAACTCGACACATTGTTCCAGCTCTATTGCATCGAAACATCCTTTAAGATCTCTGTCTACTAGCACCTCCAACCTCTTCTCCTCATGTAGGGTTCTAACCTGCAAGATTCAACAATTGGTAAACATTTTTTAAAATTACAAACCAAAAATAATAAAAATAAAAAACTGAGACAACAATAGAAACAGTGCAGAAATAAGAACCGTGAAGGATAAAAACTAATTTTGTGCAGCTTAGATATTTATGGGATGGATGAAAGACTATTTTTTACTCAACATAGTCCATGAACAAAGAAACCGACCACTTTATATACGATAGACACAGAAAACATGTCAAACTACTTACCCAATCAAGAATCATTCCCTTCTGAACTTGACCATTTCCAGCATCTAATGCCTTTTGCCCGGTTATGAGTTCCAGAAGCAGTATTCCAAATCCAAAAACATCAGTTTTTTCAGAAGACTGTCCGGTCGAAAGATACTCTGGTGCTATGTGTCCCACAGTGCCCCGCACTGCAGTAGTGACATGTGATTCCCTCCGATCTAACAGCTTAGCAAGACCAAAGTCCCCAACTATAGCTTCATAACTTTCGTCAAGTAAAATGTTTGCCGCTTTGACATCCCTGTGAATAATTTTTGGATTACACTGTTCATGCAAGTATACTAGTCCTCGGGCAGCCCCAAGGGCTATACAGAGTCTTCTATTCCAATCCAATGACGGTTTTTCTCGACCGGTCTCTGTTGATAAGATGAGCTACTTAGACATACATTCAAATTTCACAAGAACACAAATGCATAAAATAACTTTGATTAGACGCAGAGAAAAAAATCCAACCATGAATTGAATGTTATTACATCTACAATGCCTTACTAGTCAAAGAATATGGATGTTAATGCTATGAAGAATATAAGTATTTTCTGAAACAATTTCTGAGCTAAGATAACAATTGGATTGAGATTTTCTTTAACAGAAAGCACAATTGAGACAGTAGGTACATAACATCATTCTGCTGCATCTAAACCCAACATTAGTCAAGCAACAAAATGAATTATCAGAGAGAGAGAGCGTGAGTTGCACGTGCAAGCAAAAAAAAAATGAAAACAAACCTCTCAAACGGTCAGCAACACTCCCATTTGGCATAAAAGGATAAACAAGCAACCTCTCATTCGGAGTCATACAAAAGCCATATAAACGTAAAAGGTTTCTGTGCAAAGCCAAGCCAATCATTTCAACTTCAGTTTGAAACTGCACTTCTCCAGTGAAATTCGGATCTCTCAGCCTCTTAACTGCCACCATTGTCCTATTTGGAAGACATCCTCTATAAACGACTCCATATCCACCTTGTCCTAGGATGTTTTTGGAACTAAAATTGCTGGTAGCAATTTGCAATTCCCGATAGGTGAACCGCTTCAGATGACTAATATCAAATTCATAATCTTGCTGCACTGCAGACATGAATCAGGGTATCTCATTAATATATATTGTCATATATTATGCTCAATAAATTGAGTTGGCATAGATCAGGAAGTACCATAAGATGTAAAGAGAAGACGAGATCTGTACCAATGCACCCAAAAAGCAAGTAGCATCACAGAAATGACAAATGTGCAACTAATGCCTATAGCAACAGAAAGCACCCATCGGTGGTGACCGCTGGCTTTCTTTGATGAGCCTGTCTCTGCAAATAAATTTTCATGAACATGTAACCATATCTAAGGAACTGCACAATACAAATTTGAATTTCAGACATTGAATTACCATGTACTGGTTTGAAGACACCAAAGCAGATTTGTGCTGAGTCTGCTGATGAAGGATTACAAAGAAAGCTGTTCCCTGTAACGCTGCAGTGAAACATGTAAACTCTCAGCAGAATTTAAGCTGTTCAAACAAACCTCATGCTGGTTGAGTTTTATAACCAACCCCCTCATTCATTTCCTGAAATAAACTCTTACTCTCTCAACAAAATCTCTTTCTGCATATGGTCTCACCTGTACCCTTTTGCCTGTATTTTTGGAGTAGGACCACTAAGATTATTAAATGACAAATCTCTGTGTAAAATAGTTACAAAAGAATTAGAATCGCTCCAAGCAATCCATAAATAAAAGTACACAGTTAGAAATGATAGAACACATACAAGAATGAAAGACCTGTGAGATCGGCAACAAGTCTAGGAATTTGACCGCCCAATTTATTTCTACTAAGCCTCCTGAAATGCTTGGCATGGAAAAGGTTTCAAACACAAAGAAATATCACTAATAACCAGTCGTTATAGCAAAATTGAAACCAGAATCAATACAAATAATAGTGCCCTGTCTATTGTAAGCCCTACTCACAAGTAACTTAGGTGAGTCAGAAACCCCAAAGAACTTGGAATGTTTCCAGAAAACTGGTTACCCGAAAGGTCAAGAGTTTGAAGCTCTGAGAGTTTCCCAATCTCCATCGGGATAGGACCAGATAACTGATTGTTTTGTAACAACCTGCAATTGTAGAAATTATAAACATAAATTCACAAGTCATAACTGCAAAAACGCTTAGATTCCTTTACATGTACACAGTTAGTTACGAAAAGAAAGATAAAGAGCTCCTACAATCAGGCCTCCTAACACGCATAGATTTATCCTAGTGTTCCAAAAGTTCACAATCTGAAAACTAATCTACATTGCCATGAAGCATGTTTCAACAGATTTACAATAGAAAATACAGTTGGACAGGCAATCAACATATTCAGGAATGCCCCCAAAGAAAGAGGCTTACAGTGTACGAAGGTGACTCAAGTTCCCGATACTCGGCGAAAGCATTCCCGATAAACCCGTGCTGGCCATTTCACTAGCAAAAGCAATAACATAAAATTTCAGTTCGAGCTCAGCTAGACATGCATGCCAACAAAAAAATTATCTGATTCCATAAAATTCATAACTTGAACAGAAAGAAAAAACACTCTGGTTTCAAGTTTCAACATACCAAGAAAACATCTTTTTTGTTTCATTGATTTCCAAACAGCAAAAATGCACCTCTTTCTTGCGAAACAAACAGAAGCTAATGGAGAATGAGGGACACTTACAGGGAGATTACAAAGCCCTCAACGGAGCAACCGACCATGTTCCAAGTGCATGGATCAACGGAGTTTATGTCCCATCCCTCCATCACTCGCAGCTCATCCTTCATCTCTCTCTTCACTGACATCAATGCAGCCACTGACCCACGCAAAACAACCAACAGCATTCATATTTTTCATCACAAAATGAAACAGAAAAGTAGAAAATGGGTTTTAAACTTTTAAATCTTGAAGGGCCAGACCTTCATAGTTGACACCCTTGGGAGAGAGAAGACTGTCAGAGGCTGTAGCCAATGGCAAACACATCAAGTAGAAGAAGCAAAACCCAAAAGGCAGCTTTACATGTTTCTTTCTCATTTTCAACTGGAAAAAGAGACCACAGGGAAAACAAAAGCACGAAGCAGACAACTTGTTAGGGCAACTTTTTCACTGCAAACTGCAGAGAAGTCAAGATTGTGTTGAAACTTTGATTCAACTCCACAACTTCTTCTTCTCTCTCTCTCTCTCTCTCTCTCTCTCTCTCTCCCCTTTTGTTTCTTTGTTAATGGAATCTCTCTTTACTCTTTACCTCGAAAACGAATAAATTAATCATAAAATAAAAAGAAAGCTTTGGTTTAATGGAGATCGTAAGACCAAGAGGGCAACTCGAGATTTGGGAAGTGACAGAGATTGTCTGCCAGGTTAAGATGGTGGAGACTTCTGTGTGGTTGGGTGTAGGATTTTAGTAAATGCGATTGAATTCTGATTGTTGGATTTGTCGACTGACTCGATCGCATGGACCTTATAGACCTTATCGTTTCGAATATCTCTTTACTCATTACCTCAATGTTCCTTTTGGAGCAGACAAATAATGTAAAAATTTCTGGCGCCAACTTTAACGCTGCCGGTATTTTGGACTTTTCTGCGCGCAAAGGACACGCTCATTCTTTCCAGATACGACTTCGTTTCTTTATCAATTTTAATATTTTCTTCCATAAACTCATGCGGCGCAACAAGCGGGAGGAAATTGCTGGAAAATGATGACAGCCCTCAAAATGGACGAGGGTGAGAGAAAAACACCATGGTCATTTGAGCATGCAGTGCAAATAATTCTTCCAGACATAGGGACAGTGAACCTACAATGCAGCGAGACGAATGGCAGAAACCACAAAAGGTAGGGATGGGGGAAGGGTGTAGAGAGCAGTACATTAAACCACAGAACAATGCATTACACTTTCAAGTTTGCACAAACAGTAAAGTAACGGCATTCATCCGTAATTTTGAGTCAGCCAGCCACCACAAACCACCTCCAGGACTAATAAGAAACAACATTTAAGTAAAACGAAAACCATCCAGCAATCAACAACATTCTATTAGGAGCCCTCTTTCCTAGCTATATAAATACACTTTTCCAGTTTCCTAGCTTTTCCTCTCTAGCAGCTTTTCTTACCGGTCCAACTCAGACTATCATTACTATCAAACATTTACAGGAACAAAATGGAATTTCGGGAAAAAGGAGGGAAGAAGTGAGGGATAAGGGAGGAAATTACAGAAGATAACACATTACGGGAAGCCATCCATCCGCCCCAATTTGCACTCTTCTTGGTAGAGCAACAAAAGATGATCGTTAGGCCTCAATAAACGGTGATTTAACCACAAAGATACTAAACCTTTGTGTCACACATCAACTGGAAGATAGATTCTGCATATTAACTTCTCCACATTTATGTGCCGGCTGGATGCAAGAAATTTAGACCCATCTGGCGTTTCACATGCTCAGGTATCAACCTATTGATTAGCTCTGGAGAGGCTCCGGACAACTGTCAGAACAATAGATTAGTCCAGGTAGTAATTGGCTGAAATAATGAAATCTTAGAAATTAAACAATTGAAGAAAGAATATTGGAGTGCCCAGCTTTATATTGAGATTGGCCATGTAGGATGAGTTAAATATCATTCATTTTACCAAGACAACCCAACACACCCCTCAAAACAGAGTTTTATTCTTTTGTACAAAAGTAATTCCCAGTAGACTATAACTTAGAAAGGAGTGATCCGCCCATATATAATAACTGACAGCTAGTGAGATATACTCCCATGTGCATTTCCATTTAACGCATGTTTTTTTTGTTTCTTCTAATTATGGACAGGCATTTTCAGGGCCCAAAAATAAATAATTGGAGGAAAACAACATACATCCTGTTTGAAATTAAAGAGAGGTGGAAACGGACGACCATTCGGTAGGCGAGCATTGGGCTCACGAAGTTCATCAAAGAAAGGATGTGCACATGCTTCTAGCTGCAAAACAACAGTAAATCCTAGTCAAACAGGAGCGCCACTACAGATATGAAAGAACTTCATATGTCAAAACAAGATACTAAAAGGAAAACTTTTGACATCAGAAAAATCATTTCTCAGTAGTGACCAAAACTGAATTCATGAGTATTGAGCATCACAATATAACATATACACGAAGAAAACAAAATTCTTTATACCCTAATTTTGAGAAATCAATGACAACCTATAACACGAAGGATTCATTAGCAATTATAGAACAAGACTGGAACCTCAAACAATACATAATGACATTCATATCAAATTAAAAGCATTGAACTTACAGCTGTGCAACGAAGACTTGGTGAGTATTGCAGAAGTCGTGAAGCCAAATCAATTGCTTCTGGAGGCATCCTTTTGTGGAAAACCTATATCAAGGACCCAAGTTAATAGGACTCTACCACCACCACGTTAAAGAAACAAAATAATTGTAATTTTTAAATCCAGTAAAAGTTTCTGTATGTTTTAAAAGATCAATTGGAATTCAACAAAAGCAAGAGCATATATGTTTATCACAAACTCCAATAGAAAATGCCTCAAGGCCCCCATAGATTATCTAATGTGACCTGTGCAATATTCGTATTAAGAAGGAAGCAGATCAAATACCTTGTGCCAAGGGTGTGCTTTTATCTGTGGAAACCTAAAATCAGTATAGTTTGGATTCATACAACGAATTTCTTCACGTGTTGGCGTGCCAAGAACCTACAAGACAGATTGTTAGTTGCTGACTCATGATTATACAAATTGCATAATTCAAGAATTGATGATTACTATGCACCTTGATGATCTCAACAAGCTGGTCCACAGCATTTTCTCCAGGAAACAGCGGCTGCAAAACCATAGAATATATATGAGCAACATCTATAGTAGGGACTAAATTACTTGTGCAAATATAATCCACTAACATCTTGGAATGATATGAAGAACTGCTAACCTGGCCCAAAAGAAGCTCTGCTAGGACACAACCAGCTGACCAGATATCAATTGAGGTTGTATAATCCGTGGCACCAAATATAAGTTCTGGAGCCCGATAGAAACGTGAACATATGTAAGATATGTTTGCTTCACCTTTCACCTTCAGACAAGAAAATTTGTGATGAGTGCATGAAACCCTATAATAGAAAGATTGATAAACAGACAACCAAAAGATTTAAAGCCTCAACTAGCATAGAAACTTCCTATCCAGAAAAAGAGAAAGAAAAAAAACACAGCTGAGGAAATCACAGGAGAAAGAACAATGTCTTCTATATACACTGTCCTAAAGATTATCTGAAAGGGAACTCAAAAGCGGGTCCAGAAATAATATGTTCAACGCTGAAGGATAGTCAACATACCAGCACTTTTGCACTTCCAAAATCACAAAGCTTAACCTGGTGAGTAAGAGGATCAACCTGTAGAAAGCCAAGAATGACATTGGAAAACCAGAGGTAATTGTAGACATGGGTATATGTATATGAGTCTGTAACTCCTCATAAAAATATATATATTGTGAAGTAAGAGAATAAGTAAATAGGATACCAAAAGATTTGGAGGCTTCAAATCTCTATGGCAAACTCCAGGAACGGTGTGTATATAGGCCAGCGCTCTAAAAATCTGGAACAAATCACCAGATTAATGCCATGAATAGTATAAAGCAGCAAGGCAACATCTGAAAGGTGCGTCATGCATTACCTGGTACGTGTAGAGTTTGACATAGATTAGTGGCATTCTCTGGTTTGCATTGCTGTAATGCTTCAAAACCCGGTACATAGTCTCCGGGACATATTCCATAACCAGGTTGAGAAAGAGCTCATTTCTACTCGTTGTGGAAAAGAAACAATGCTTCAAAGAAACCACATTTGGATGGTCCATCACACGCATCAATTGAAGTTCCCTGTTCTTATATCTTCTGTCCTGCAAAACCTTCTTTATAGCCACAGTCTCACCACTTTCCAAGCATTTTGCCTGAGATAAAAGAACTATCAGCATCAGACATGACAAATAAATTGGTACAGGACGCAATAACTAAGAAGATGATAATTTAACATACCTGGAAAACAATTCCAAAAGAGCCAGTTCCCACGACACGCTCTGCCATGTAACTAATGGTCTGCAAAAAGCATAATAGCCAAACACATCAACTTCCCAACAGAGGAAAAATTAACCCTGGTAAGGTATAAAAACATCTAGATCCAGAATATTGATAATCATATTTTAACCTTTCAACTCAATCAAGACGCATACTTTAACAATGAAACAGGGTGAAAATAACAAATTCCAAGAATGGTAACCTGTTTTGGTTCTCCATTTTTCCCTCCGATGGTTGTGGAGATGATGTGGCCAGTTGGATCACTACCGTCTACAACAGGTGCAGAAATTTCCTGCATAACACATCAAGTTAGATCCTGAGAGAAACAAATTTCCCATAAAGTGTATGAAATTTACAGTGGAATTCACGGATTAGCAGCCATACACAACCGCAGACCACGCAAAGAATATAAAAGTAAATAAAGGCTATACAAAGTACATTCTGAGTCCCAAATATGCCCCATGAAATGAAACTAAATCCCTAAAACCCAAAAAGAACATCCAGAAAATTTCTTATTTTTTCTTTTCAGAAAAGAAACAGATCAGTTGGCTCATAAGCTAAGCGAGATGCAGATTAAATCAATTGCAAATCAAACCCAAATTACACAAAAGCATCCGACTTTATAAAACCTAACCAAGCTAATATCACTATGATCTGAGTAAAAAACTGGAGCTAAGCAAACATCACTGCTCGTCAAACCCAAACAAACCCTAGAGCTAGAGTAAATCTAGCTCATAACAAAACCCAGATCAAAGAAAGAGAAATCAAACTGCAGTAAGCTGAGAAAGTTTCTTTCTTTGGCAACCAAACAAAAACCCAAAAATTATCGAGAAAGTTACCTTATCGTCAGCCATGTTGAGATGGGAAAGAAAGAGAAGGAGAAAAAGGGAAAGAGGAAGACAAACGAGCGAATCAGACTGCAATTGCTGGGGGGAGGAAGAAGGAGAAGGTCATGGTGGAGATGGAGTTAGAGCGGTGGTGGATGAGGAAGAGGAAGAGGAGGAAGAAGAAGAATGGAGAATGGAGAATGGAGAAGAATTAGATGTCACTGCCACAGACAATTAGACAAACAACAACCCCCATGTGATTCCAGCTCTTCTTTTTCAGTTTTTGCTTCTTCTCTCTCTCTCTCTTCCCCAATGGGGTGGGCCCCTTTCCTACTCTTTGCCTCCAATTACGACTTTGCCCCTTTCCTTTCTGTCTTCCGCCGACGTCGTCAATTGCCCGATTCTCAAACCTTTGTCTTTTCCTTTTCCTAGTTTCCTTTTTTATTTTTCTATTTTCTATTTTCTATTTTCAACGGTTAGTAATCTGTCTCTGTATCTCTATTTTCTCTTTTTCCTTCTGCCAAATTTTTTCAGCCAACAATAATCATACAATTTTTCCAAAATATACCATTAGCCATGAAAGTTGAAAACACAGGGTGCGTGAATGTTGAGAAAATTCTCGAAATTTGACTGATAAAATGATTAGAGATGGTAAAACTCTACGGAATTATGCCTTTATATATGTATAAAATCCTAATTTTACCGAGAGACAGAGAAAAACAAACGGCTATAATTTCTATAAATGATGTAAATTATTCATACTTTGATGTTTTAATAATCTTTTAAAACATAAGAAAATTAGCAAATAGGAAATAAAATCTATGATTTGACAAAATCAACTTCATTGAAATTGCTAAGTACTCTCAAAATTCCAACAATATGTCTTCACTACTTTTTCTTGCTAAATACTTATTGGTTGAATGTGAAATTTCCTTATTATGTGGTTGTCAATTCTTAGCCACTTTTCCTTTTTTCTATACTTTAATTGACCTATGTTTTCTAAACCCTAAACTCATTATTATCAAATTTAGATATTTCGATTATACGTTGCAGTTGGTCATTATCTCTCATCACGTGACTTTTTTTTTTGGGGTTGTAGAATCACTTGCATCTAGCAATTATACTCATCGGTAAATGTGAATTTTTCTAGTGTCATGCTGGAATTATGATTGTGTGAAAAATGCCATATTGTTTATCTTTCACATAAACGAATACTTGTGTAGTATTGCCTTGTGTCTTGAAGCATTAGTTGTTGTGGTAGATCAAGAGCTTAATGCAATCAAATTTTAGAGTAAACCATAACATCAAACATGTGAAAATTATCAAAAGATTTATGCAAGTAAAAAACTTTTGAATATTTTTATATAAAACTTCATATCCATGAAACTTTTGAAGTAGCCAAGTTTATGTTTATCCGACAATAAGAATTGCAGGATTGCTATGTGGTCCAATGGCAAACGGGTAGTAGGGTTACACAGTTGAACTCCATTTATGCCATGAAGGTCAAGCCTGTTTTTGGATTTGGCAGTTGAAAGGGTTAGCTGTGAAGGAACCAATATAAAATTGAAGAAGAATAATGAGAGAAGAGTGAGTCACAAAGTTGAGAGCCCTTGATTTATTTTGAAGGTAACATTGTCCTTTTCTCAGTCTTCAAAGACTGCATACATTGACCATTTATATGAACTTGTATATTTTATTATTCTTTGACTCATCTCATCCATCAGCCTCTGCATTTTTCCCCATTTAACCCCACAAAAGCATTACATAATCATATTGCCTTTGCTTCTTGATTAGCCGAAAGAAAAAAGTTCAAAACTAAAATAATATACCCTTTTCTTTTGAAGGTCTTAAAATAATACTTCTTACTGATATGTAATCACTCTCGGAAGACAGTGTGATCGACGGAGTTTAGTTCGGAAAAAAATAGCATTGATTTGTAGATCCGTGATCTCACATTCGAACTTGTATAACATCTTTGGTCAAACAAAAAGAATATTAATTTGAATTTTACCTTGAAAGCATAAAATCCACTTTCTTCAGGTCACCAGCCCCTGAACGTTTGTCTTTACAACTAGCCCAGCCATTGGCCAAGGTGTGAAAAGGGTGTGCCTCATGATTTTGTCTGAGACTGCCTTGGTCTAGTAATGTCTATCCATAAAGCACTGTTTTGACCACTATTACATATGAGTATGATTTTCTAATAATTTAATGTATATTTCCCTTTCGAAAAAGCTGTTAGTATTCTTTTTATTCAATTATTAATATTATCGTCGTTATTATTGATCTGAAAAATAAAAAACCTGTTGTGAAGGTTACAAAAATACAATAACAACTTTCATGATGGTAATGATTGTGACCAGACCAGATACAAAATTATTTGTTTTCATGTGTTGGCAAAATAAGATTTTTTATAATTACTAATTAGTTTCTTAGAAAGTGATCACTTAATAATAATAATAATGGGAAGAAAGTTGGGTTAGTGTATAATTGTAGCGTCGGTGGTCAGTGGAGCAATAGTATTTGGATTTTGGTCAAACTGAAAAACTTGGTTTGGTCGTCTTCTGAACTCTGCAAGCCTCTGCTCTACAGCTACTGAGGAACCTACTGTAGTGCCCGTACGGTAACTCAATCACACGGTCCAGACAGCACCACGTGTCACGGTTGAGAGCTGAGTTGATGCTGGGCTTTGACCATAATCAAAGAGACGAGCAGGGTTATAAATAGTTAGGCCCATCAGGCCAATGTATCTTGTGGGCTGTTTGTGTGAGCAAAGCTACTGGGTTGGGAGGTAGATGGCCCGGAAGTGTAAAGCATTGATTGGACCACAACGGCCGCCACTGCCGCTTCCTCAACCACCACCATCACCATCACCACCGTCGCCGCCACCACTTGACATGATCAGTACCACCACTCTACCCACCACCATTAATGCCTCTACTATCCCCACTACCATCACCGTCTTTACTACCACAACCAACATCAAACATGATGACTCACTACTATTTCAAATTTATAGAAGTTTATAAAAATCTATCAAACAAATAAATTTCATTAAAATTCTTATGAAATTCAAACAAAGTATATATGGAATTTATGAAAGTCAAATAAAATCTATAGATTCCAACCACCTATTTTAAAATTCATTAAAATCTTTATCGAATACACCCTAATTAGAGACAAATATGTATAGCAAGTTGTTGTGAAGATGCCCAACTATCCATTCTTCCTTCATCACAAGTTGTTGCATTTGGCTACTTGCGAATTTCTTCCCCGATGGTGCAATCATGTGCCCCACTCTTTGGCAACCTGTTCTGTCTTCATAGACTGGCAATGCTATCTGCGACTAATAATTATTCAATGATTTCAAGTTTTCAATCGGAAAGGAAAAACATTTTGAATTTGGAAGGAACTTCTCTGTTTTCCGTGCTCATGGAGAGAATTGGTTTCCTCTTGTCAATCACGTTTTTGCTCGTACTGCAGTGCAGTTCTGTAGGCACAGTAGGGGTAGCACAAACCAACATCACCACGGACCAGTCTGCTCTTCTTGCTCTCAAATCCCAAATCCCATATTATGAGAAGGAGATTGGATTGACCATCCTTATCTGATTGACGGATTATATAGAGACAAATATGTATAGCAAGTTTTTGTACATTTGTGAAGATGCCCAACTATCCATTCTTCCTTCATCACAAGTCGTTGCATTTGGCTACTTGCGAATTTCTTCCCCGAGGGTGCAATCATGTGCCCCACTCTTTGGCAACTTGTTCTGTCTTCATAAACTGGCAATGCTGTCTGCGACTAATAATTATTCAATGATTTCAAGTTTTCAATCGGAAAGGAAAAACATTTTGAATTTGGAAGGAACTTCTCTGTTTTCCGTGCTCATGGAGAGAACTGGTTTCCTCTTGTCAATCACGTTTTTGCTGCTATTGCAGTACAGTTCTGTAGGCACAGTAGGGGTAGCACAAACCAACATCACCACGGACCAGTCTGCTCTTCTTGCTTTCAAATCCCAAATCCCATATTATGAGAAGGAGATTGGATTGACCATCCTTATCTGATTGACGGATTATATAGAGACAAATATGTATAGCAAGTTTTTGTACATTTGTGAAGATGCCCAACTATCCATTCTTCCTTCATCACAAGTCGTTGCATTTGGCTACTTGCGAATTTCTTCCCCGAGGGTGCAATCATGTGCCCCACTCTTTGGCAACCTGTTCTGTCTTCATAGACTGGCAATGCCATCTGTGACTAATAATTATTCAATGATTTCAAGTTTTCAATCGGAAAGGAAAAACATTTCGAATTTGGAAGGAACTTCTCTGTTTTTCGTGCTCATGGAGAGAATTGGTTTCCTCTTGTCAATCACGTTTTTGCTCGTACTGCAGCACAGTTCTGTAGGCACAGTAGGGGTAGCACAAACCAACATCACCACGGACCAGTCTGCTCTTCTTGCTTTCAAATCCCAAATCCCATATTATGAGAAGGAGATTGGATTGACCATCCTTATCTGATTGACGGATTATATAGAGACAAATATGTATAGCAAGTTTTTGTACATTTGTGAAGATGCCCAACTATCCATTCTTCCTTCATCACAAGTCGTTGCATTTGGCTACTTGCGAATTTCTTCCCCGAGGGTGCAATCATGTGCCCCACTCTTTGGCAACTTGTTCCGTCTTCATAAACTGGCAATGCTGTCTGCGACTAATAATTATTCAATGATTTCAAGTTTTCAATCGGAAAGGAAAAACATTTTGAATTTGGAAGGAACTTCTCTGTTTTCCGTGCTCATGGAGAGAATTGGTTTCCTCTTGTCAATCACGTTTTTGCTCGTACTGCAGTGCAGTTTTGTAGGCACAGTAGGGGTAGCACAAACCAACATCACCACGGACCAGTCTGCTCTTCTTGCTCTCAAATCCCATATCACTAGTTACCCTCACAACATCTTGGTCAACTGGTCAACCACCACATCCGTTTGCAATTGGGTTGGCGTTACTTGTGGTGCTCGTCACCTCAGAGTAGCATCATTGAATCTCTCGTACATGGGTCTCACAGGCACCATTCCACCACACTTAGGCAACCTCTCGTTTCTTGTTGAGTTGCTCTTCATAAACAACAGTTTCCATGGCACCTTGCCCAAGGAATTGGCTTATTTGCGTCGATTGAAGTTGATTAGCTTCGGATACAACAATTTTATGGGATCCATTCCATTGTGGTTTGGGTCCTTCCCCAAACTTCAAAGTATCGATTTGCGTGGCAATCAGTTTTCAGGTTCTATACCGGCGATTATCTTCAACTTATCTACACTACAAGTAATTAATCTAAGCAATAACCAACTATCAGGTACGCTTATGTATCAACAAACGATCTAAGAATCTACTGTTGATTGATCATTACGTTTTACCATCTTGTTTTATGTGTCTTTGGCATGCATAACAGGAAGTGTGCCAAGAGAAATAAGGAACTTAACAATGCTCAAGGAGATAGACCTGAGCTACAACAAGTTCAACGGTATATTTGTTGTCTTGCCTTGATGCATACACGGCCTAATCATTTCATATAAGTGCATGATCTAGTTATATATATGACCGGGCCTTTGTTGTTGTGCATATATGCATAAATCACGAGTTTAATATATATCATGTTGATTGTTCAGAAATTCCAAACGAGATCGGCTCTTTAGATGAGTTGGAGAAGTTATATGTTCAGTCAAATGCCCTAAAAGGGCATGTTCCTCTGGGTGTTTTCAACATGTCTTCTTTGACTAATTTGAATCTACATGGAAACAACTTGAGTGGTAGTCTTCCTGACAATATATGCCAGCAGCTTCCTAGTCTTCAGGAGCTGGATCTGGGTCTCAACCAGTTTGATGGTCCACTTCCATCCAAATTATGGCAATGCACACAACTTCTTTTTCTAAATTTGGAGGAAAACAATTTCAATGGAAGCATACCCAGAAAAATTGGAAACTTAACCCAGTTAAGGAAGATTTATCTTGGCGTCAACAATTTGACAGGTAATTGATATTTCATTTTGTTATTCGAACTATGATTTATCTTTTTTTTGTTGTTGCATAATTTATGTTGACTATTTCGTAGTTTGTAATCAGACGAAAATAATTTGGTAGTTGGTTAATGAGGAGATAGTTAATAATGAATATTGGATTTTCAACTATAGCCAGAATAAAATATATTGAGTTGCCTAACAAATGTTGTATCGAAGTCATTCAAATAAAACATTTGGTTCACCAAGTCGGAATAAAAGCATGAAGCACAAAAGAGTATATTACATTTTGGACTATTGCTAAGACTACAAAGTTAAACATGCAACGGTTTGTATCGTGTATATGTGGCAGGCATTATACCAGATGAGATGGGTGATCTTCAAAATTTAGAGTTATTGTCGATCGAACAGAATAATCTGAATGGCCTCATCCCATCCTCAATCTTCAACATCTCCAAGCTAAGAGCACTCTCGCTTACGCTGAATAAGCTATCGGGTAGCCTCCCAGCAAACATAGGCCTTGGGGTTCCAAACCTTCAACTCCTTTATATAGGAGCAACTGACGTCAGCGGAGTAATCCCCAACCTCTCCAATGCTTCTAAGCTCACCAGGATATCCATGAGCTACAACTCATTTACAGGGTTTATTCCGAGGACGCTCTGTGCCTTAATAAATCTTCAGTGGCTTGGCTTATACATGAATAATTTGACAATTGACACTTCCACTCTCTCTTGTTTGGCTAATCTTAAAAATTTGACAACACTAGACTTGGGAAATAATCCTTTAAATGTCAGACTTGACGATTCCTTTAGGAATTTCTCTTTGACATCATCGCTTCAATATATTTCCTTACCCAATTGCATCATGAGGGGTAACATTCCCATTGGTATTGGCAACTTGAGCAGCTTGGTAGCCTTAGAACTGGGATACAATCAATTGAGTGGATCAATTCCAACTTCAGTGGGAAGACTTGGGGATCTCCAAGGATTGAGTTTGGGTGGTAACAAGTTGCAAGGCTACATCCCATATCAACTTTGTCAACTAGATAACCTAGCTTACTTATATTTGGGTAGTAATCAGCTCTCTAGTTCTATACCTTCCTGCTTGGGTAATCTAGCCCCATCTCTAAGAAGTCTATCACTGGAGTTCAATTTGTTAACTTCCACAATACCATCTAGCTTGTGGAAACTTACGTATCTATTGTACCTAGACGTATCATCCAATTCTCTAATTGGACCTCTCTCACAAGATATTGGAAACTTGAAAGTTGTCCTAGAGGTAGATTTATCAAATAACCATTTATCTGGTGTTATACCAAGCACCATTGGCCCTCTTCGGGATCTCGTTAATCTATCCTTGGCAAATAATAATTTGGAAGGCCCTATTCCAAGTTCTTTTCACTACTTGCTAAGCCTGCAACTCTTGAATTTATCCAGAAACAATCTATCTGGAGTGATTCCCAAGTCTTTAGAAGCTCTGTCACTTCTCAAGCATCTGGATTTGTCTTTCAACATGCTCCAAGGAGAAATTCCAACAGGTGGACCATTCCAAAACTTCTCTGCTCAATCATTTGTCTCAAACAACGCACTCTGTGGTGCACCCCGACTTCATTTTCCACCATGCAAAAATACTACACTTGAACCAAATTGGAAGAAAGCTAAATATATCATCCCAGGTATTATATCAGTAATTCTCCTAGTGGCCTCCATATCTATATTTGTACTACGCAGGAAAAGAAATGTGGAAGTTGCAGGAGAGGCTACCTCGTTGCCTCAACTTCTTTGGAGAAGAATTTCACACCTAGAACTTCTAAGGGCCACGAATGGATTTAATGAAAACAACTTACTCGGAAGTGGGGGTTTTGGCTCAGTATATAAAGGGACGCTTTTAGATGGAATAGACGTTGCAGTAAAGGTTTTCAATTTCCAGCTAGAAGGGGCTTTCAAGAGTTTTGATAGGGAATGTGAAATGCTAAGCAATATTCGTCATAGAAACCTTATCAAAATCATCAGCTGTTGCAGTGAACTTGATTTCAAAGCCTTGGTATTGAATTACATGCCAAACGGGAGCCTCGAGAAGTGGTTGTACTCTCAAGACTATTCTTTGAATATCTTACAGAGGATGAACATAATGATAGACGTTGCGGCAGTGGAATACCTTCATCATGGTTATTCAGTACCTATTATCCACTGTGATTTAAAGCCCAACAATATACTACTAGATGATGATATGGTTGCACATGTTGCTGATTTTGGAATTGCAAAACTCTTGGGTGGAGGAGATTCTATTACCCAAACCATGACTCTAGCCACTGTTGGGTATATGGCTCCAGGTGATGTACTTGCTAATTTAATATCTTTCAATTCTATACATGTTGTCCATAATTATACACATGAATATATTTCACACATATATGTATAATTCATAATGCAGAGTATGGATTGGAAGGAATGGTTTCAATAAGAGGGGATGTGTACAGTTTTGGAATTCTAGTGATGGAAACATTCACAAGAAGGAAGCCAACAGATGAGATGTTTGTTGGTGAAATGAATTTAAAGCAATGGATTGCAAACTCACTGGTTTTGCCAGATGCAATGATAGATGAAGTTGTGGATGCCAGTTTGCTTTGCACACAGCATGAAGATGATGATCATGTGAGGAAAAGGGATTGCTTATCATCCATTATGAGATTAGCCCTTGCTTGCTGTGCAGAATCGCCTGGAGAGAGGATAAATATGGAAGAAGCTGTAGCCACACTCAAAAAAATCAAGATAAAGTTTTTGAAGGATGCTGCTCCTGCTGCTGCTCAAATAAACAGCCCTCTTGTTCAGCGCTTTAATTAATGGGTCCCATCCTTCCTATGACACTTTGATTCAATTGAGTCATGCGGCTTTGTTTTGGAATATTTGAATTTTAAAGACAAAATATTATATAGATGGAACATGTCATGATAAAGAAATTCAAAGCTTCTTACTTACTTGGTGTATGGTATCAGAGGAGGGTCTTGGGAGCTCCACTGCTGCTTTCCCCATGCCAAGTTTTGACAAATGACTAGACCAAAAACTGAATGTGTTATAGCAAACACATCAACCCCATCGGACAGACATGCAAGATCTTCCATATAATAAATCTTCTTCCTTGACAAACCTTGAGTTGCTTACCTTAATTAACTCAAGGGAAGTAAACATCTTTTCGGTTTGGATCCTTCCGTTTGGAGGTAGTTGCCCAAAACCTAAAGCAGAATGACTTGGATGTCATTGAGCCTGAATAACTAGATACTTTTGAAGCAAAAAATGAAGAAATACCACCCACCACAAGCACAAAACACTAGTCCAATCCATTGAGGCCTACTAAATATGTCCTTGAGGTCCAATGCCCGTAATGGTGATATTTTTATTAAATGTCGTTTCATTAATGTTTTATTTGGTATTACAGATTCTCAAATTCACACTAGATTTTATCTAAATTCAAATCAACTCCATGAAACTTGTCCTAAACATAAAGATTTGGACTTGGACTCTCAAATCCAAATCTCCCTAAACAAACGTGCCCTTAAGTTTTGTTCTTTTCTAATCAGAATCAGCAATTTTGGTTTATTTTCTTCTTAGATGTTCTCATTGACTAATATGGTATCTTAGGATTGTTTCTATTAAGTCTCTTTTAGGAGAAACATTTGTGTGAAACGGGGATAACACTATTTTGCTATTCTTGGCCAATCATGATGCCACCCGTGATAACTTTTTCATGTGACAGTTTGTAATTAGTTGAGAATAGCAAAACAATGCTATCTCCCTTTTATATAAGTTTTTCTGCTTTTTTAGAGGTATCTACAATGTTGGAGTTTAGCCACCGAATTCTGACAAAGTCCTACAATATTAATTGGAGTGAACCACGCCAAATTCTCACAAGGCCGTTGGCTTTTCTAAGGTCAGTTTCATTTCAATTCCTTTCATGTCATGTTCAAATGTCAATTAATTAATTTGATTCCATCCCCACTTGTGGTTTCCAAATCACCAAAGGAGCTAGCTACTTGATAATTAAATTCTTCGCCAATCTCTCTGAAGCCCATATATTTATTGAACTTAAACCTAATGTCGGGATACTTGCTCGATGAGTGTTGGCCGTGATTGCAATAGACCTTACTACTTGCTATGATTAATGTCTTTATAGAAATAATAATACCATTTGTATCATATTTATTGACCATCGAATGTATATGGGACTTACATAGAGGTGATCAGCAATTTGGTCAGCAAATGTAATACAAATAGCACTACTCTTATGGAAATTAACCTATAACAACCCTCAAAGACTTGTTATATTACTTGCAATCCTACAAATATAGTTTCACTCAAACTATTCCCCATCTTTACGCATTTTGCATGTCCCCTCTCTTTCACTTGACTATAATGAAAGAAATGAGGTAGGGTTACATGGATTCCATCCCTCACGGTGCAACCATGTGATAGAGATGGAGAATTTGGTGCATAGGGAGGGGACGGAAAGATTGGATTTTGGATCTGAAGCTTCAACCTTTCAGTTTACACCAATTGTCCCATGGACCAGAGCCGTATGCTTATTTTCTTTTTACAATATACATGTCTGTTCGTATTCAGATTTTCACCAATTTTTCAAATAATCATTTTGTCCAAAAATGGATTCAACTTAGAAATGGGGTTTGGAAGCTGGTGGCCTAAGAGCGCAAAGCATTGGTTGGGCCACATGGGCGTTTTATCTGTGGTTGTAAAGTTCCCGTACATTTGTGAAGAAGATGTGCAGAAAGAGGATGCCCAATTGTCAGTTCTTCCTAAGTCTTCGTCGTTGCATAGGGGAAACGCCGTGCTGTCTCGGAAACAGATGCCTTAAGGACGAGGATTCCATCCCTTACTGTGCAATCATGTGCCCCACTCATTGCCAACTTGTCTCTGTTTGCAATACTATTATTTAATGATTTCAATTTTCAATTGGGGAGAAAAAAAGAAAAGGAAACACACTTTGCAGTTGGAAGGAAAACTTCTCTGTTTTCGGTACTCATGGAGGAGAGAAGTCATTTCCTCTTGTCAATCACGTTCTTGCTGGTGCTGCAGTACAGTTCTCTATATATGGCTGAATTAACTATCGGCACAGATGCAACACAAACCAACATCACCACGGACCAGGCCGCTCTTCTTGCTCTGAGATCCCATATCACCAGTGACCCTCACAACATCTTGGTCAACTGGTCAACCACCACCTCCGCCTGCAACTGGGTTGGCGTTACTTGTGGTGCTCGCCATCTCAGAGTAGCATCATTGAATCTCTCATACATGGGTTTTATTGGCACCATTCCACCACACTTAGGCAACCTCTCATTCCTTGTTGAACTAAGCTTCAAAAATAACAGTTTCCATAGTACTTTGCCCCATGAATTGTCTTATTTGCGTCGCTTGAGGTTTATTAGCTTCGAATACAACAATTTCATGGGATCCATTCCATCGTGGTTTGGGTCCTTCCCCAAACTTCAAAGCTTCTATTTGTATGGTAATAATTTTTCAGGTTCCATTCCCGCGACTATCTTCAACTTATCTACACTACAAGTAATTGATCTAAGCATTAACCAACTATCAGGTACGTATGTGTCAACAGGTTATCTAGATTCTACTGTTGGTCTATCATTACGTTTTAAACATTTTGATATTAATCTATAAGTCCAGTTTGTTCTTTTTTCTTTAGAAAATTAGACTCCGTTTTTATTACTTGCAGGTCATGCAATACTAAAGAACTCTCACTTGAAGAGATCATGTATTTGGTTTTTAACTGTGAGGGTAGTTGGGTCTATTCATGTTGGTTTTTTTTTTTTTTTTTTTTTTTTTTTTTTTTTAAAGTTTGAATAAATGTATTTGTACAAATTAATTAAACTAGGGAAACTATATAGGGACTATATAAAATTATTGGGTATTGGGGGATAAAGACATAGATAGGTAAAATAATAATAATAATAATATGAGAATAATTAATTCTACATGGTATGTGTCCGTTCTAAATTCAGGTTCCATACCTTCGACTATCTTCAACTTATATACGCTTCAAGAAATTGATCTGAGCAACAATCAGCTATCAGGTACATATGTATCAACAAGTTATCTACACTATACTGTCGATTGATTATTACCTTTTAACATCTTGTCATTAATCTATAAATGAGCTAAATTATCCCAATTTGTTCTTTTTCTTTAGAAAATTAGCCACATTTTTGCTTTATTGTAGCTCATCCAATACTAAAAAATACTCACTTGAATAGATTATATTTTTCATAAAGACTCATTGGGTATTGGGAGATAATGCATGGATTATAAAGAATGAATAAGATGGACAACAACTAATCCTACATGGCATGCACCTGTTTTAATTTGGGGTTGCAGCTAGTAATAAAAAAGGGAGCATTTTTGCTCACCACTTGAACCCAATGTGTATTCTTTCTATCTAGAAAAACTTATATGAAATAGAGATAGTATTGTTTTGCTATCCTCGATCAATCACACTATGCCAAGTGGAAAAGTTATCATGCTTGGCATAACCCCATTGCACACAAGTGTTTTTCCTCACCACCCTTTTCAAAATTTGATATATGTCCATTGTTATAATTATAATTAACCATTTGTTTTTAAGTCTTTAAAGTAATTAAAAGGGGTAGTTACAATTTTGGTCATTTGGGCTGGGGTCGAATTTAATTTTAGTCATTGCATTTTCAATTTTCTGATTTTGGTCATCACACTTTGTGTCATCAGCAAATCAAGTCACATCTCTTAATTCCGTCAGTTTAATTGCACGTGCTAAGTGCGTGCATGGACAAAATTGTACTCCAATATTTAAACCGTTAATAAATAAAATTTTAAAAAACTAAATGAAATTATTCATTAAAAAAAAAACAACAACAACAACCCAACCACCATCCCCTTTCTCCCACCCCCATCCAATCCCTATCCCCAGAGAATCTTCCTTGGAGCACAACTTTTCGGAATTAGAGAAGAAGATCAAAACCAATTGATGAAGCAACAAAATTCCTTCACACTACCAACATTGTCAACAGCTGGAAGAAAAAGATAAACCAACCTAGAACACCAAGCAAGTATCCAACAATTTTGTTTCTTTTGTAGCTAGCTATAGGATCTACCACAAAAGAAAATTAAATAATTTCTGAATTCACAAGCGTTCCTTTTTTTTTCCTCTGTCACAAATAAAGAACCCTAAATTGGGAGAGGAATGAATTGAAATGGGAATAATACAGACACACGGATGGAGAAGCTATATGTATAAAAGTTGATGATTTTGAGGGACTCGGAGAACAGGGTGGAGGAGGACTCGCATGAGTGGCGGCCGATGGAGGAGTGACAGTGGGGGACGATAGCGCGAGGCCAGTAGTCGGTCTTGGCGTGCATTGTGTGGGATTTCTTTGGATGTTGTCTTCAATTGCAGTGTTTTAATGGAAATGAGTGCTCTGAAGATTGAGAGATTGTGGGGGAGGATGGAGAAGTTGTAGAGAGGAGAAGAGGGGAAGAGAAAGCGTACGGTTGCAGAGGGAGAGAGTTGGGTTAGGGGCGAAAGGGCAATATCCCCTCTGCGCGCACGCATGTGGTGCGTCTTAATTGACAGAATATCTTAATTTGACTTGATTTGCTAACGATGCAAGGTGCCAAAATTGGAAAATTGAAAGTGCGGTGATCAAAACTAAATTCAACCCTAACCCTAGTAACCAAAATTGTAATTATTTATAATTAAAAAAAAATCAATAATAAATAATAATTTATATTTAAAAAAAAAAAAAAAAAAAAAAAAAAAAAAAAAAAAAAAAAAAAAAAAAAAC